GGCCCCACACGTCCATGTGGAGCGTCTGCAGGGGAGCTGTCGTCGGGGGAAAGGAGGAGGAGTGAGGAGCGGCGCGTTGCCGCCCCTCGACACAGGGAATGCAGTCAGGAGCAGGGGAGTCAGGAAGGGGAGGGAGCACCCTGGGAAGACCAGCAACAAGGTCCCGTTTGTGCATGGCCCGCAGGCGCTGCACAGACGGGTGACCAAGGCGATGGTGCCAGAGGACGGTGTCGTTCGCCAGAGAGCGACACGAGCAGGGGGCGGACAGCTGACCTGACGCAGACGCAGACGCAGCTACCTGAGGGGACTCAGTGGTCAGTGTGTACAGGTCAGACCCCGGCTCTCGAGTGAAAGTAGCCAGGTGGCGGCCCGTCCGAGCACACGTGCAGTGAGTCACACGCTCGTAGGCAGGGGTGAACTGGTGAACACCCGAGTCCTGGAGCGCACTACCTGCCACCAAGTTCGTGGAGAACGAGGGGAGGTAGAGACCTGAGAGCGTGCCGGACGGAACCGCTGGACACGGAAGGGTGGTGGAGGAGGTCGCAAGGACCGGACCCCCAGAGGGGTCAGCAAGAGAGACAGCAACCGGCCGAGCTAGAGGCTCAAGGACAGTGCGGTCACGAAAGAAAGAGCGAGAAGCACCTGAGTCAAGTGTGAAGGTGTGCAGTGCTGCAGTCGACTCAGTACCAGGGGGCACAGACGCAGAAGCACCTAGAGCAGCAGCTGCAGTAGTACCTGTGGAAGCAGACACACTAGCACCTAGAGCAGCAGCAGGGCTGGCCTGAATGCCCGGGTCGGGCGGAACACGCAAGTACTGAGCACCCTCTCCACTAATAGACATCGCATACATGGCAGTGAGAATAGCATCAAAGTCAAGTGCCCAAATATCAACACCCTTCCTGAGCAGATCAGCCCAGCGCGGCAGCTCACCCCCACCAGGAAACTGAGTGCGCCACGCATCGTTGAGGCGGGCGAAGCAGCGCTCCGTCTGGTGCGGCCCCCCACACGTCTGGCCAGTGCGGTCACCTGTACGAATAACGTACTGGCAGGTGACGCTGCGCCGCGCATACCACTCACGGGCGGCCTGAAGGGTCGGGGCAGGCTGCTGACTCTGACCGCCCGCCGGGCCTCCACGACCACCACCCCCTCCGCCTCCGCCCCGGCCACCTCCACCCCTGCCGCTGCCACGACCACCTCCGCCTCCGCTGCCACCTCCGCCCCTGTCACCACTCCCAACACCGCTGTCACCTCCACCACCGCCGCCACTAGCCTCTCCAGTCGCACCTCCACCGCCACCACCTCCACCCCCGCCTCCTCCGCCACCACCCCCACTCCTGCCACTCCTGCCCCTGCGTCGTCCGCCTGAAGCAGACGCAGCCCCGACCTTCTCAGCACCAAGGAGGTCGACAGCAGCAGCAGAGGCGACAGAGGGGAGGAGGGGGGAAGGGGAGCACCCCTCGAAGAAGGGGCCGCGGGGGTCGCCACGAGAGGTGCCTACAGCGACGATACTAGCCTCGGCTGCAAGCAGTTCCTTCTCGAGGAGGGCTATGGTGAGCTCAGTGGGGGAGCGAGAGAGGAACTGGTCCCTGACAGGGCGCAGAGAGTCAGGGAGGCGGGTGACAACGTGGTAGAGAGTGATCCAGAGCGGGGGGGGGTTGCTAGCGAGGAACTCATCAGGCATGGCAGCGCGAAAGCGAGCCTCACTAGTCTTAAGGTGGGTGATGAGGTCTGCGACAGTGTGAAAAGAGGCTAGGTCGGGGAACAGGTAGGGGAGAGTGAGGCGGCCTAGAGTGGCAGAAGCGGGTGAGGAGTAGCGGGCCACTACAGCTGTGTAGAGGTCCTTAGCAGTCTTGCACTGGCCGAAGTGCTCGCGTTCATCTAGCGGCAGGGAGTTGCGAATAGCAAAGCGAGCGTGCGCGTCACGGGTCTGCCACTGTGAGCGCTCAGTTGGAGGGGCAGTAGCGAGTGGGGCGGTCGCATGGCCGAGAGCGTGGTCGTACAGTGTAATATCTTCCTTGGCAGTGAGCTGTAGGAAAAGGTGCAGATCATCTAGCCAGGTTTCGAATTTGACCGGACGGCCCTCGGCGTCGAAAGCTAGAACAGGAGGACTAGCCATAGCGACAGCGGCAGTAGTAGAAGCAGTAAAGTCACTGAACAGGCGTGCGCTGGGTCAGCAGGGCCGGTGGGGCCTACGGACTGTAGTGGCGCACAAGCAGCAGTAGCAGGAAGTGTAGTAGTAGGATCTGCAGTGGTGCACAGGCGCAGCAGGCGGCAGCGAGAGCCGGCGTAGCAGGGGCGGGCTCAGCAGCGGTGATACGCGGGCGGCAGCGGGCGCAGCAGCGGCGGTGCGCGGGCGGCGGCGGGCTCAGCAGCGGCGGTGCGCGGGCGGCAGCGGGCTCAGCAGCGGCGGTGCGCGGGCGGCGGCGGGCTCAGCAGCGGCGGTGCGCGGGCGGCTGCGGGCTCAGCAGTGGCGGTGCGCGGGCGGCGGCGGGCTCAGCAGCGGCGGTGCGCGGGCGGCGGCGGGCTCAGCAGCGGCGGTGCGCGGGCGGCTGCGGGCTCAGCAGCGGCGGGCCGGGAGCAGTGCGGGCAGCGTGCGGGCCGGCGGCGGTCAGCGCACGAGCCGCGCAGGCTCAGCGCGGGCTGCGCGGGCTGCTCGCGGGCTGCGTAAGCGGGTCGCGGGCGGCTCGCGGGGGTTCGCGGGCAGGTCGCGGGCTGCTCGCGGGGTGCGCGGGCCGGTCGCGGGCTGCGCAGGCGGGTCGCGGGCTGTGCGCGGGCGGTTCGCGGGCTGTGAGCGCGGCGCGCTGTGCGGTTCGCGGGCGGCGTGACGGGGCCGATCGGGGCGCTAAGGGGCGACGCGACGGGGGCCGTGAGAGGCCGCTAAAAAAAAAATTTCAACGGGGCCGCAGGGCCGCTAGATCGTGCTAGATCGACGGGGCCAGCGGGGCCGGAAACAAGCGAAGGTAAGCAGGTAGGTAAGTCGGTGGGCCCTAAGAACAGTCCTAGCGAAGGACCTGCTCTGAAACCATGTCAGAAATAACTGAGCAGGAATGGTGAACTAGCATAGAGTTTGGTACAAGTAGGAAACCCTAACTTTGTGTACCCCCTAAGGTGTAACCCACTACAGCCTACACAATATAAACATACAATGTTTGACACCGCTCCCTAGCCTGCTCTGTTTCAAGACGTCTCTAAAGACGCCGGCCCTTGGCCTGATCTGTAAGTCCAAATTCGCGTCGCCATCGCCGCCGCCGCTGCTGATGGTGATGGTGACGTTGACGGTGACGGTCGCGGTTACTAGGCCTGCTGCTGCTGGTATTGGTGTTGGGGGGAGGCGAGGAATAAGCGCGGGAAACCTGCGTGGCAAGGCGCGGTGAGGCTGCGAGATCTGGCGAAGTGAGACGCGCCCGCGAGAGGAGGCGTGACAGGGCCAGAATGGTGCACGCGACGAGGCCTTTAACGGTCGCGAGATGAGGCCCGACCTTAAACGGTCTCGTAGTATAATGAGGCGAGGCATTCAATGGTTGCAACTCTGTAGAGGAGGTCGTACTGAGGGTAGGCGAGGCGAGGCGAGGCTGCGTGGGTACAACGGCATGAGTTAAGCGAAATTGAGAGCGTAGCCTGGGCCTAGGCGTTGGCGTGTGCGGGTATAAACAAAGAAACCGTTTGCTAGGACAGTCTGCGTCGAAAAATCTCGCTTATCGCGCCGCCAGTTTCGCGAGTTTAGACGCGTGGGATGCGGTTTGCGAGTCAAAACGTGTGGGATGAGGTTTGCGAGTTTACACGTGTGGCGTGAACTCACGCGTTCTCGGGATTAGCATATTAGTTCGAATCTTCCCAGTTACGATTGTGGATATGATGCATGTTATATTGTATTCTGTCCTCCAACAAACCCCTTTCTACAAAGGGATTTGAAATGCAAATTGGTGAAGGGTGAGCTAGATTGGTTGGAAATTGAAGCCAACGGGTAACAAAAACAGTTTCCTCCAGCCCAATCCTAGCGAATGTAACACTTTCGCGAAGCTTTGGAAGGCGAGAAGGTGTGCCATTCCGTGAACCGTGACGGGTTGGTGTGATTGCTAAGCCTGGATGCTTCTTTCGCGAAAGGTTTCAATATTCACATGAGTTTGGATCATCCACTGTGGGGGCTAACGAGATTACAGAAGCTTGCCTGCTGGTACTTACGCTTGGGGATTTCGAATGAAGAATTCGCCATTAGAGGCGAACATGCATTTTTCACAAGCGAGGTCAAACGACGCTATTCGCAGTGACGAGCCATGTCACATTTGGTTTCGCATTGCCTGAGAGTCGCATGTTTCGCAGATAGGTGGCGATGAGATGGGTTGAACTGGAGGAGACGAAAGTGTGGTTGACAACTTGACATCCGTCTCCACGGCACGCCGGGTTAAGCGCCAGGGCATTCTGGACTATAAAAGCAAGCTGGGAGAGCAGCAGAAAAGACAGCCGACAGCAACGAGCAGAGAGCAATTCTCATCAATCATCGAGCAATGAGGAGAGAGAGGATTTTGCAAGGCCCTCATCCTGCCCGTCGCACGACGACAAGCGCAGCAGCAGACGGAGAGAGGATTTAGCAATGAGCTGACCGCCGAGCCAACAGAAGGCCCCATCCCGTCCGTCACACGCCGACAAGCACTGCTCCACGGCTGCACCTTCACGGGAATCCGTTCATCCAAGCAGCCACTCATTGGGCTCCATGATAACATGGCATTGTCACAATGGCGACGGTTCTTGAGATGATCTCGAGTCAACATCGCGAAAAAGGAATTGCGGAAAGGCTGCTGGAAACTTGCAAAAAAGTTAACCTAGTCAAGGATCCGCCTCAGAAAGTTACTTTCAAGTCAAGGTCAAAAGCATTGTCGAGCCGCGGATTTCCCACCAATTCAACACTGATTGTGCACATGCGCTTCGTTTCCCAAGGCGCGAAAACCAAATTTCGGAATCGGGTTCAATTGCAATTGGGTGTTTCGCAATTGATGCTAGAAATGCACGGCTCGGTTACGCTTCGTATCCGAAATTGGGGTAGGTTGCGGTTTTGGCTTAGAGTTTTTCGGATACTTTCCCGCAACATATCAGCAACTTTCCCGCAGGGTACGTGATCAAAGTCACTTAAAATCGACTTTGGGCCAAAACCCTTTTCCGCGATAAATGCCTAGTCCTTCTCTTAGTTTGTCCCAATAAGGTCCCTGCCTCATCCGCTTCAGCGCGATTCACGCTGACACGACATCTGAGGCTCGCGCAAGGGCACGGGCCGACAGTGGCCGCCAGCTGTTACAGCCGGCGCGGCTGGTTGTGCGAATCCTGCGTCAGAAAAGCTTCGAGTCAGGTAGATTCATACGCCCTCTCCCGGATTGAGCCGATTCGTTTTCCCGACTCCCCACTGTTCCTGCCAAGACATGACCACCCACTTGCAGTGCTAGCTCGAAGCTCCTCAAACCTGCGCGTCGAGGAGGGCTTGAGCGCGCTCGCTACCGGTACTCCCGAGGACCGGGACGTTCTTGTTTCCTGAGGCAAGGAGGGGCGCGACGCGTTCCTTACTCATCCTAAAACTTGGCAAGCTTTTGACGAGCTGTCGTAGGACACAAAGGGAACAAATGAGGAGGTTGGTGGTGGTGTTCGAGTCGACCGTCACAATTGCCAGCACCGGCGCCGCGCGCTAGCTGAAGCACCAACCCGCGCAAATGATCATAAGCGACGTAATTGAAAGGAAGCGGCACGTGAACGCGGTTGGGGAGATTCCTTCTATCATGATCTCCACTGAGTGAGCAGATTCCCTCGCAGCCTCTCACCCCGCCTCCCACGCCGCCTCCCGCGGCGCCTCCCTCGCTTCCCTCGACTTGCGCAACGACGTCAGTTCCCAGGAAGAGCCCACCGGCGACTCGGAGGAGAAGACATTGACGCTTGCTATTTCTCCTGCCTTCTCGGTCGCCGTCGCCAAGATGCAGAAGCTTTGCGACGCCGCGACTGCTGCCGTCATTGCCGATCTTGTGCCGTCCCTCGTCAGCGCCGCGTCTCCCCCCGCGATCGACACTTTCATCCGCGCGTGCGTGACCGACGGCCTCGACTCCGCCTTCTACGTCATGGACGCCGCCGTCACGCAGCTGCTGCCACGTGTGCACCCCTTATACGCCGTCAAGTGCAACCCCGACCTTGCGCTTCTCTCCCTACTCGCCTCCATCGGCGCAGGCTTCGACGTGGCGTGCAAAGCGGAATTGGAAATGGTCGTCGCGGCGTGCGGCGGAGCCTTCCTGGAACCCGGGTCCCGCATCATCTACGCCAACCTCTGCAAGCTCCTGGCGCACATCCGCTTCGCAGCGGCGGACGACGTGAACATGACGACGTTCGATTCGGTGACGGAGCTGCAAAAGCTGCGTCGTTATAACCTGTCCGCGAAGGCGGTGCTGCGCGTGCGCGTGGATAACCCGGGCACGCGCTGCCCCATGGGGGTGAAGTACTGCGTGGAGGCAGAGGAGTGCGAAGAGATGCTGGCGGCCGCGCAGGAGCTCGACGTGGAGGTGGTTGGCGTGGCGTTCCACGTGGGCAGCGGAGCCAATGACCCGCGCATCTTTGGAGACGCGATCGCGCTCGCGAGGGACGTCGTCAACGTGGCGGAGCAGCTGGGCATGGCGCCGCTGTCGCTGCGGGACATCGGAGGAGGGTTGACGTACGACGGGCTGCGGGGAGGGCAGGCAGTGACCTGGTAAGACCAAAGACAAGGAGGCGGGAGTGCATGCCACGGAGGCGTGGCAGGGAGGGGTGACCAAGGCGGTGGTGCCAAAGGAGAGTCTGGTGCGACAGGAGGCGACACGAGCAGGGGGCTGCTACCTGACCTGACGCGGACACCTGACCAGACGCAGCGACATGAGGAGGCGCAGTAGTCAGTGTGTACAGACTCGACCCAGGCCGACGGGTGAACGTGGCCAGGTGACGGCCCGTCCGTGCACACGTGCAGATCGACACACGCTGACCCCCAGAAGCGGTGGTAGTGACCATCCCATCCTGGAGGGCAGCGCTACTCACCACGTTTGTAGGGAACGAGGGGAGGTGAAGACCTGAGAGTGAGCCAGACGGAACCGCTGGACACGGGAGAACAGTGGAGGAACGTGCAAGAACTGGGCCCCCTGAGGGGTCAGCCAGAGAGACTGCAACAGGTGCAGGGAGTGGTGTGACTATGGTACTGTCGCGAAAGAAGCAGCGGGAAGCACCTGAGTCAAGCGTGAAGGTGTACAAGGCCTCAGCAGGCGCAGTACCAGAGAGAGCAGACTCACTAGCACCTAGAGCAGCAGCCTCTATACCTGGGTCGGGCGGCACACACAGGTAACAATCACCCTCAGCACTAACAGTCAAAGCATACATGCCAGCAAGGATAGCGTCATAGTCAAGAGCAAAGATATCAACACCAGACCTAAGCAGCTCTAGCTAGCGGGGAAGCTAAGCCTCGTCGCCAAACTCTGCGCGCCAAGCGTCGTCAAGGCGGGAGAAGCAGCGGTGCTGGGTGTGATACTTCTCGCAAGTCTGACCAGCCCGATCACCTGTGCGAATGACGTACGGGCAGCGAACACTACCCCAAGTCGCCCCACGCTGAGCAAACCACTCACGAAGCTGCTGGGGCGTAAGGGTCTCCACCTCCACCGCCTCCACCGCCTCCACCATCGCCTCCACCGCCGCCACCCCCACCACCCTTGCCTCCCTTGCCCTTGCCGCTGCTGCGCCTTCCACGAGAAGCAGACGCAACCGCGACCTCCTCAGCACCAAGGAAGTCAACAGCAGCAGCAGAAGCGATTAAGGGGGCAAGGGGGGAGGGGGAACACCCTGCAAAGAAGGGAGTGCGGAGAGTGCCACGAGAAGCACCTACAGTGACTGCGCTAGTCTCGGCTGCAAGGAGTTGCTTCTCGAGCAGGTCGACAGTGAGGTCTGTGGGGTCAAGGGCGAGAAAGTGGTCCCTGTCAGCGCGAAGAGAGTCAAGGAGGCGTGTGAGTATGAAGTAGAGCGGGGGCGGGTTCTTGTCTAGGAACTCGGCTTTAAGCGCGGCGCGGTAGCGAGTGTCGCTAGTGCGAAGGTGGGTGATGAGGTCGTCGACTGTGGCAAAGGCGGACAATTCGGGAAAAAGGTAGGGTAGTATAAGGCGGCCGAGAGCAGCAGTGGCAGGGGAGGAGTAACGAGCGACTACAGCGTCAAACAGGGCTTTAGCGGTCTTGTGCTGGCCAAAATGAGCGCGTTCGGCTAACGGTAGGTGGTTGCGAACGGCTAAGCAAGCAGCAGCATCACGGGTAAGCCACTGTGAGCGAGTCGCACTGTCAGCTGTGTCGGGGGGAGCTAGAGAGGCTCCAAACGTGTGGTCAAACAACGAGACGCCGTCTTTAGAATCGCTCAGTAGGTACAGCTGTAAGACATCGAGCCATGTATCAAACTGGATCGGACGGCCCTCAGAATCGAAGGTGAGAACGCTGAGGGTAGCCATAGCTAGCAGAGCAGGGTGGCGCGTGACTAGCAAGGCGGGGCGCGTGCACTAGGGAAACACGCAAGGCAGGGCGGCGCGCGGGCGGCAAAGGGCGGCGCGCGGGTAGGCAAGGGCGGCGCGCGGCTTGCGGGGCGACGCGCGGGCTACAAAGAACTGCGCGCGGGCAGGCAAGGGCGGCGCGCGGCCAGCGGGGCGGCGCGCGGGGTGCAAGGGCGGTGCGCGGGCTGTAGAGGGCGGCGCGCGGGCTGCGCAGGGCGGCGCGCGGGCTGCGATGGGCGGCGCGCGGGCTGCAGAGGGCGGCGCGCGGGCTGAAAGGGTGGCGCGCGAGCTGCAAAGACAGCGCGCGGGTTGTGATGGGCGGTGCGCGGGCTGCAGAGGGTGGCGCGCTGGCTGCGATGGGTGGCGCGCGGGCTGCAGAGGGTGGCGCGCGGGTGGCAATGGGCGGCGTGCGGCCAGCAGGGCGACGCGTGGGCAGGAAAGGGCGGCGCGCGAGGAGGCAGGGCAGGGCAGTGCGTGGCCAGCAGGGCGGCGTGACTGTCAGGGCAGGGCAGGGCAGCGCGACTGGTGGGGTAGGGCGCTATGGGCAGCTAACGAATTGTCAGAATCCCAGCCACTAACCACTGGGATAAAAGGGCTTGTTTGTGTAGCAGGTGAGTGCGCCCATAACCCCCCAGGCCAACGTGCCTGTAACCCTTCCCTAGGATCAATCGGGGATCTCCAGTGGACCTCTGACACCCCCCCGCACTGGGATGCCCGAGGTGCACACACCGGGATTCGAACCCGAGATCTTCGCTCTGATACCATGTCAGAATCCCAGCCACTAACCACTGGGATAAAAGGGCTTGTTTGTGTAGCGGGTGAGTGCGCCCATAACCCTCCAGGCCAACGTGCCTGTAACCCTTCCCTAGGATCAATCGGGGATCTCCAGTGGACCTCTGACACGAATCGGTGGGCCCTAGGAAAAAACAACCATCCCGGAACAGGATCTGCTCTAAAACCATGTCAAAGAACTGAACGAGAAATGAATGCATTGAACAGAAAGTTGGTACAAGTACTAACCCTAATTGGGTTGTATCCGCTATGGGCTACCCCACTACAACCTACAGAATATAAACATTATAACAGTTTGACACCCTAATCCGCCTTATTTTCAATGCACCGACCACGTTCTTAAAGAGACCCTAAGTACTTATATGTCTAGTGAGAAAATCAACCAAGGATTACAGGGATATCTGAAAACACGGAAGGCAATCCAGGCTAATCAAACTCGCACTTAGCGAGCCGACTGAAAGGGCGGTTCGGCAACTACGAAGTTGCTTCTTGCAGCTAGCTCGCGTGGGGTATGCACGTGAATCCACCAGCAATATTCAGTCTACATGAACTACTCTCATGACCTAGCCTGACCTACGGTAGTTACCCCAGGTGTTGAAGATAACGGCGTTGAAAATAAGGCAGAACATGTGTATTGCGCCCAGCTTTCGACTGAGCGCGGGATCGACATTGGCCATTTCCAGCAGGTTCTCATCTGGATTTTGTTCAGCCCGCAGCGCGAGTCCCTCATTCAAAGTTGTACCGTCATACCCCGGATAGAAGCGCAGGCCTCGGATAAGCGCCGGCGCTTATAAAGGGATGAGGGCGCTTATATCCGGTCCTCGATTATAAGCGCACCCCCTAAAAATTTATGATTTATTATAAGCGCATGTCGAATATTATCTGAAAATCAGTCGAAACACATAAACGAATTTCACCTTACCAGGGAAGCGAAGTACAGCTCCACTTTCCTACTCAAATCACACTTGCTGCGCGTCTAGTCAGCACGCGCTGTCGCTTAGTCAGCATGTGTTGGCAGGGAATCAATTGTTAGAAGCCTAAGATAACTTAGGACTAGGGTTTAGGGGTGAAAGTGCAATGTCGAGAGAGTTTAGCCAAAGAGGGGTTTCAATAATGGAAGGCATACAAGATATAGTCAAGGAAAAGGGCAAATGGTGCACCACCAAGCAGGAAACTAATATAACTACACTAGGCTCTACTGTAGGCATTTATAAATGTATACGAATACATTTCAACACACCCCCTAAATGCCTACAGCTAGAACCGTGTGCAGTACACCTCCTGCAGGGGTACACCAAGTGATGAGAAAGCAGCAACAGCGGGCAAGAGCAGTGGCAACCGGTGCAGTGGTGGCAGATTCAGCTGCACCAACCCCTCAGCCAAGGTAGAAGCAGCAGAAGCAGGTGCATGTGGCGGCAGGTCGCCTGGAGAGCAAGTGCATGCGGCGGCAACGTGCGGCGGCACAGCAGGGCTCAACGGCAGCACCTGCCGCTCAACAGCAGTAGACAACAGAAGAAACAGCAAATGGAGGCAGGGGCGGCAGTAGAAGGTGCCACGGTAGCAACGGGCAGCATCTGCAGGTGCCTGGCTGACTTCCGCCACCACCTCACCCTCCCCCCCACAGCGGCACGCGCGGCTGTGGGAGAGAGAGGAGGAGGGGCAGCTGCTGGCTCGGCAGAATCTCTCTCGGCACCCCCTCACACTCTCTCCCTTTCCCCTCACCCTCCCCCTGCAACCTCTTCCCCCCCTCACGGCGGACCCCGTTGAAGGGAGGGGAAGGACGGGCTGCACGCAACTCACACCTGCCACCCCCACAACTCCCCCCCCCACACAGCGGAAGCTGCGGAAGGGAAGGGGGGGGCGGCGTAAGCTGCTGCTGGCGCTGGCGTCGTCGCTGGCGCTTGCGCAGGTGCTGGCGACGGGCGCTGGTGCTGGCGCACACGACCGTGCGCGGGTGCGCATGGTCGGACGCGGCTGCGCGCAGCAATGCGTGGCTGTACGCAGCTGCGCGCGGCTGCTGCTGTGGTCGTAACAGAACGGGGAGGGGCAGGCGATGCGCGCGACGAGCAGGGCGCAACAGGCGCGACGGGGAGTGCGCCACGGACGGGACGGGCAGGGACGAGGCCGCATCTGACGCCGTCGCGCAGCTCGCCGCCGAGACCGTTTCGACGGTCGCGACCGTTGCAACCGTCGTAATTACGGCCGCGACGGGGGGCGTGACGAGCGCCATGAGCGGGGGGATACGTGGTGGGCCCATGGGGAAAAAAACAAACAGGTCTTAGGACGACGTAGCTCTTAATACCATGTTAGAAGCCTAAGATAACTTAGGACTAGGGTTTAGGGGTGAAAGTGCAATGTCGAGAGAGTTTAGCCAAAGAGGGGTTTCAATAATGGAAGGCATACAAGATATAGTCAAGGAAAAGGGCAAATGGTGCACCACCAAGCAGGAAACTAATATAACTACACTAGGCTCTACTGTAGGCATTTATAAATGTATACGAATACATTTCAACATCAATCCCTGCCAAGTTGCTCGGGAGTCAAATTCCCGACCCCATATATTTTCGACTCGATTACAATTGGCAGAACGAGATCTACAGTTTGGTGTTAAAAAAAAACTTAATTTCATTTTGCCGTTATATAAACGCCGGCGCTTATAAATTTCCTCAATTATAAGCGCACCCCCTAAAAAACAGTGTTTTATTACAACCCCAGGGGCGCTTCTATCCGGGGTATGACGGGTACTCGCGAATCGGTTTGTCCATAAAATGTACGCTTCGTTAAATTTTGTTCGATACATTATGAAATGTATCCTAGGTTCAAGTGCACATATGATAAATTTGTAATCAGATCTGTCTTCATATAAATTCTTTACTGCATGTGTTTATCACATTTGCATGTCGCGGGCCCTCTAGAGAGCAGAACACAGATATACAGCGATTGCATTGCATGATTTCTTCACATATTTTACAAAATCACTGACAGCAGCTGATACCCGACACCGAAGCCAGTTGTTGGTTTCAAGAGTCATGCAGCAACCTGAGTAGCAACGGCCCATGGGAAAACAAAGTAGGAAAATATATTCCAAAGCTTGTCAGCTTTTGGAGTGAGAGGTCGTGGCACGCACAGCAATCCTGGTAGCAGCAGCCCACTGAAAAACCGAGGAGAATGAGGAGCAAGCAGCAGCGGGCTTGGCATAGTTCAATATTAAAGCGACGGGCAACTTTTGGCAGTGTTGGGTTCAGAAGTTTTTTTTTTGAACCAGGCTTGCCAGCGCGAAAGTGTTGGCTGGCGAAAACCAGGATTTCGTGCAGACACTTTTCATCTGCAGTAACAGTTCGCCAGGGTTCTGGGTTTTGGGTGGCAAATGTGCACCGTCGCTTTAACACTGGAATCTCCAGCACGTACCAGGGCTGCCTGCTCGCTTCGACACCAGGAAGGTGAAAACTGCCCCGAGTTACAGTCTGACTGTAATTCCACTGACGCGCTGGACATCCTGCCAAAACCAATCCAGCCTTGATCCTGTCGTATCGTGTCGTGTCGTGTGGTGTCGTGTCGTCCGTGACTCATCGGGGGCTACAGAAGGGGCGAAAAAATGCGGTGAATTCAATCCAACGTTCGTGAAACAGTGTACGCTTGACTTGACATGGAAAATGGCGAACGTACGTGGTCTGATCACGTCCATTCGTTTCATGTTGTCCGACCCCGAGATTACCGTGGCCTGTGGTATGTAGTATAATATCGGGTTGACGCCAGCAAGTGTAGTTAAGTGAAGTCAATCCATCCAAACCAAGTGCAACAAAAGTTTCTTTGGCAAGCAGTTCACACACAGTACAGTTTACTTCAAAACCTAATCCTTTAATAATTAGTTATTTAAAATATTCGCAGCCATCATTGCACACGTTCGTGGACCATCACTGCCTGATTCTAACTGTACTACCACAACCACTCTTCCCAACCACCGAGTAAAACCACCTCTTTCTTACAGTAGTATGAGATGAGCTCCACCATTATGCTGGGGCATCGACACAATACAGATACCCACGATGGAATAAAACAACCGTCTCCCCTTCCTTTCCCATTGCATATCAACTCCTCCCCACCCACCCCCCCTTTTCCTCTTGCCATCCGGACCCCTGTGAGGTGGGGTTACCGAAGCAAACACAACAGTAAGTAAGCTGGCAGACCCCCCTCGAAACTCTTCAACCCTGTCAACCCTCCTCCTCCTATCCTCCTCTCTTCCTCCTCGCCACCTCCTCTCACCCTCCTCCTCCTCCCCGCCCCCCTCCTCTCCCTCCACCAACCCATCAATCAAAGCATCCACATCCTCCCCAAGTTCAATCAGCCTCCCTCCCTCTCTCCCTCTGTGTCTCTTTTCTTCCTCCACCTCCCCTCCCCTCATCTTCCCTCCTGTTAACCCTCCTCCTCCTCCCCGCCCCCCTCCTCTCCCTCCACTATCCCTTCCATCAAAGCATCCACATCCTCCCCAAGTTCAATCAGCCTCCCTCTTAGCACCTCCACCTTCTTCTCCTCTTGCCCCAGGCACACCAACAAATCATTCAACTCCGTCTCACTCTCCCGCTGCGCCTCCTCCCGAGCCTCCTGCCGAGCCGCCTCCACCCGCTCCTCCACCTCAGCTTCGGGCACCCCCCCGCCTGCTCCCGCCCCTGCCGCAGCTCCCGAGCCGGCAGCGGCGGCAGCAGCTTCGGCCAAAGCAAGGCTGGCTCGGAGGGTTTCTGTGTTGGATTGGAGGGATTTCACCTCCCCTTCTAGTCTGAGATTCTCCTGCTCTAGACTGTGGTAGGCCATGGATAGAGCTTGCAGGTCTGCTTCTTTCCCTGCTGCCACTTGCCGCACCTGGGGAGCGGAGGAGAGGGAAAGGAGAAAACAGGGGCGGGACAGGAGTGGGCGTTTTGATCTCCCCTTCTAGTCTGAGATTCTCCTGCTCTAGACTGTGGCAGGCCATTGACAGAGCCTGCAGGTCTGCTTCCTTCCCTGCTGCCACTTGCCGCACCTGGGAAGGGGAGGGGAGGAGCAACAAGGAGAGCGGGACAGCAGTGAGAACTGGGGGTGGGCGATTTGATCTCCCCTTCTGGTCTGAGATTCTCCTGCTCTAGACTGTGATAGGCCATTGAGAGAGCTTGTAGGTCTGCCTCTTTCCCTGCTGCCACTTGCCGAACCTGGAGGGGGAAAGGAGGGTGCGGTAAGGGAGGCAGAGCGAGGGCGGGAAGAAGCAACCGTGAGAAAACAGCGGTAGTGAAGGAATGGGAAGGGGGGGGGGGGGGTTTGGTTCCTTGCGGATTTGACCTCCCCGCTTAGTCTGAGACTCTCCGGCTCTAGTCTGCTTCTTTACCTCTAATGACTGTGTTTCAAGCTACTGACCAGAAGATACTGTTCTAGACCAACACACACACACCACACACACAAGATACTGACCAGAATACCTGCATGAACTCGCCCAAGAGCGAATCCTGCTCCCCTCTGGCAAGCGAATCGAGTGTAGCTGTACTGTTTTACACTCATACACGCCATACACACACACAACACACTGACCACAATACCTGCGTGAACCGCCTAAGCTGTGCCTTCCCTCTGAGCAAATACATCAGCTGGGACTGTTGAAGTGCAACCATACTATACACACCATCCCACCTGCATTAACTTGCCCATTAGAGTCTCCTGCTCCCCTCTCAGCGTCGCCACACTCGCTTCCGCTTCCGCCAGCTGGCGCCTCCGCCTTCGTCATCACCCACACACAGCAGAGACACACCCCCCTCCCAACCTTCCCCCCCCCCCACACCCCACACATACCTGCATCAATTCGCTCTTAAGTGTCTCCTGCTCCCCTCTGAGCGTTGCCACGCTCGCGTCCGCCTCCGTCATCACTCATCACACACAACACGCACAGCACTCCGCACACAGCAGGCACACATACCTGCACGAGTTCGCTCATAAGTGTCTCCTGCTCCCCTCTGAGCGTTGCCACGCTCGCGTCCGCCTCCGTCATCACTCATCACACACAACACGCACAGCACCCCACACACAGCAGAGACACATACCTGCACGAGTTCGCTCATAAGTGTCTCCTGCTCCCCTCTCAGCGTCGCCACGCTCGCTTCCGCTTCCGCCAGCTGGCGCCGGGCGGCTTCCAGCTCAGCGTGAGTCGGCGCCGAGCTCGCACCGCCCGTGCTGTCTGCTGACGTGGCAGCCTGTGATTGGTCGCCGGCGCCAGAGGAAGGGGATTGCGGGGCAAGTTGCATTGCATCCTTTGCAAGGGCAACGTTGCGACTCCGCAGGTGCTGTAGGGGGGTGAATTGGGGGGGATTGGGGAGAGGGAAGGGGTTGGGAAACAGGGGGTAACAAGAGGCGAGTTGGATTGCATCCTTTGCAAGGGCAACGTTGCGACTCCGCAGGTGCTGTGAGTGGGGTTGGGGTGGGGAGTGGAAGATCAGAAGTCGGAAAGATCTTAACTGCAGCTCTTGATGCTGCGACTGCACCATCGACTTTTGAGTCGACTCAAAAGTCAAGTAACTGCAGCTCTTGATGCTGCGACTGCATCATCGCCTGCACCCTTCCCACCTTCTCCTCCTCATTCTTAAGTCGACTCAAAATAAGCATGGAGCAAGAATTACCCGCAGCTCCAGATGGGTTCTAGCGGCTATCAGAGGGGTGGAGAATGGTGGAATGGTTAGAAAGGAAACTATGGTACCTGCAGCTCTTGATGCTGCAACGGCACCATCGCTCTCAACCTCCCCGCATACTCCCCCTCATTCTTTCATTTCCACCAAAAAGCAAGCGTAGACAGGGAGATACATGGAGCTGCATATGGTTTCAAATGGCTACGAAAGGAGTGGAGTGCGGTGGAGAGGGCAGAGAGGGACGCACCTGCAGCTCCTGATGCTGTGACTGCACCATTGCTCTCAGCCTCCCCGCATACTCCCCCTCACTCTCCCCCTCCTTCCGATTCACATCCACACCCCCCCCTCCCCCACCTTCCCCCTCCCCACCCCCGCCTCTCGGCATCGAAAACAGCTGCACCACTCTCAACCGCACTGCCTCCTCCAGCACCAGCACCGACCGCACAAACTCCCGGTCGTAAAACGAAGCAATGGGCGGCTCAAAATCCAAACTCGACGCACTAGAAACAGGCGGCACGCGACTGGCTGCTGTCGCGAGCCCAGCAGTTGCGAGCCCAGCAGCAGCAGAAGATGTGGCAGCAGAACCAGACCCTCCTTCCTCCGCTATCTCACTGCGTTTGCTACCGCTGCTGCTGCCGCCCCCTTCCCCAGACCTAACCCCCCCTGCTCCCCCCGCTCCCCCTCCCGCTCCCCCAGCAGCTGCCTCCGCAGCAGCAGTGCTTCTCGTGAGCGGCTTCGGGGGCCGTGGCCCCGCTCCCCCTGCAAGAAAGTACGGGTCCCGTTTCAAATCCTCTATCCGGGCGAAAAAAGCTGCAAGGCCGATGCGCTGAGTGATTATATCCACCACTGTGGCTGCATCGGTGGGGCCTGTGTTATCATTGAAAACAACGCAGGCGCCTAGAACGAGTGAGGATAGACCCCCCACATGCACTGCCACCCCTCCTGCTCCTCCTGCTCCTGCTCCTGCTCCTGCTCCTCCTGCTGCTGCTGCTGCTGCTGCTGCCTCGTCTGCCCCTCTCCCGTCCAACTCTCCTCCACCTCCTCCGCTTCGTTTCCTGTCACCTGCTGCGTCGTACCCATCAGAATATCCATCCCCGTACCCTCCCCCGCTTGATTCCCCGTGCCCCTCCCCGTCCTCTCCCGTGCCGCCACCTGGCATTGCGGCGGCGGCGGCGGCGGCTGCTGCTGAGCTGGCGGCGCTGACGAGGCCGATGAGGAACGGCAGGTGGCCGGGCGGCGCGAGGAATGCGGCGACAGCTGGTGGGCAGTCGGAGAGCCACGTCAGCAGCAGGCGGAGCAGCACGGGTTGCAGCCAGACGGCCGACGGGGAGGAGGAGGAGGCGGAAGAGGAAGGGGAGGAGGCGAAGGAGGAAAACGACGAGGCGAAGGAGGAGTAGAGGGAGTGAGAAGACGACGAATGGTGGTGCGAGTGCGGGTGCGAGGAGGTGGGAAGGGGAGGAGAGGGAGGGGCGGCAGCAGCAGCGAGATAACGCATGATGCGCGGCATGAGAAGCTCCGGAGGGGCGAGGGCGGAGGTGGGGATCTGCAGGGGGATGCGCAGCACTCGCTCCTTGGCTGCTGAGTTGCCCGTGAGGAGGTGCGAGAGCACGCTGGCTGCCCTGCAGCTCCCCTCCAGAGCTTGCTCGCTCTGACCGGCAATCAGTGCTCGCACCAAGATGCTGGGACGGGGGGTTAAAGGGGGAAGGCGAAGGGGAGAAGACGAATGAGGCAGGATGGTAGGGGAGAGGTAACGCATGATGCGAGGCATGAGGAGTTCCGGAGGGGCGAGGGCGGAGGTGGGGATCTGCAGGGGGATGCGCAGCACTCGCTCCTTGGCTGCTGAGTTCCCCGTGAGGAGGTGCGAGAGTACACTGGCTGCCCTGCAGCTGGCTTCTAAAGCTTGTTCGCTTTGGCCTGCTATCAGCGCCCTCACCAAGATGCTGGTAAACCAGGGGGAGGGGGGAGCGAGAGGGGGGGATAGGGCGTGAGAGGGGGGGGAAGAGAGGGGGGAATGCGGGGGGAGGAGGAGAGACAGAGAGTGTCCGCCTGGAGAGAGGTGGAATGTGCAGGGGAATGCGCAGCGTATGTTTTTTGAGAATTCTCAAAAAACATTCCTTGGCGGCAACTCACTCTGCCCTGTTATCAGCGCCCGCACCAAGGTGCTGTTTTTTGAGGCGCCTCAAAATAAACATTCCCCATATGAAATCCGCGTGAACTGAGACGATTTTTGAGGCGCCTCAAAAAGCAGCTCACTCTGCCCTGTTATCAGCGCCCGCACCAAGGTGCTGGTTGACCGGGGGAGGAGGGGGGGGGGGGGGGAAGAGGGGGAAGAGGGGGAAGAGGGGGAAAAGGAGGGAGGGAGGAAGCAGTTGGCGGAAAAGGGGTGCGACAACACACTCGCAGCCCGGTAGCTCGCCTTCCAAGGCTTGCGCGCTCTCCCCCGCTATCAGATGCTGCAGTCCCAGAAGCTGCCATATATTTGGGAATCACTTCTGAGAATTCTCAAAAGCTCTCCCCCGCTATCAGATGCTGCAGTCCCAGAAGCTGCCATCTACAGAACTGCAGTATTCAGAACTGCCCTTTTCAAAACTGCCTTCTTCAGAATAGCCCTTTCCAAAACTGGCCGTAACAAAACTGGCATTAAATTTGGCCAAATTTACCCACAAAATGCTCCACGAATCATCACACTCACCCTCCCAAGGTGAGGTTAGCCACATCATCAGCCGCATTGGCCCCCATTGCTCCTCCGCCTCTCTTGCCCTTGCCCACCATCACACTCACCCTCACCATGCTCCATGCACCTCCATAATTATCCTCCACACCACACTCACCCTCCAAACGTGAGGTTAGCCACATCATCAGCAGCATCGGCCCCCATTGCAGTTAGTCGATTTTTGAGTCGACTCAAAAATCGACTCATCACACTCACCCTCCAAACGTGAGGTTAGCCACATCATCAGCAGCATCGGCCCCCATTGCACCTCCTCCTCCTCGCTTGCCCTTGCCCGCGACGCCTTGTGGCAGAGGAGTGATGGTGGACGCCAGCATGGTCTGGCCCTCGCTGTTGCCCTGCAGGGAGAGGAAAGGGGGCCAAGTGTGGCAAGGGCAAGAATAAGGAACGGTGATGAAGTAACTCTATGACGCCTTGAGGCATCACGCTTGAGGGGTGATGGCATGTTCTGCCCCTCGAGCTTGCTTTATCTTACAAAAAAAGCAGGCTAAATCCGCTGTTGCCCTGCAGGGGAAGCAAGGGGGGGCAAGGGGGGGCAAGGGTGACAAGGCCAAGGATAGGGAATGGTGATGGGGTAACTCTGTAACGCCCTGAGGCAGAGGAGTGATGGTGGACGCCAGCATGGTCTGCCCCTCACTGTTGCCCTGCGGGAACAAAGGCGGGCAAGAAAAGTGGAGGAGAGGAGGAGGTTAGGGCAGGGCGACAGTGAGGGGCAGGGCAGGGCAGGGCCCTACCCTGTCGTCACCCCCAGCCATCATGCCCTTGCTGGTGCTCTCCCCCTTATTCCCTCTCCACATACATACCTCACAGAAGCACCGAATCACATAGTCAGCAGCAGAGCTCTCTCTCATCGTACTCGCTCGCAGCGCCACCCTGATGCCGCCCATCCCCCTCCTCCCCAACCCCCAACGTCCAGTTAATAACAGCTCTCCAAACACACACGCACCTCACAGAAGCACCGAATGACGTAGTCAGCAGCAGAGCTCTCTCTCATCGTACTCGCTCGCAGCGCCACCCGCAGCACACAGTGCAGCGCCGGCTCCATCTCCTCCCCCACCCCCCTCAACAACCCCTCCTCCTCCTCTCCCTCCTCCTCCTCATCCCCTCCCCACCCACCTTCCCCTCCTCCCCCTCCTCCCCCTCCTCCCCCTCCTCCCTTTCTTCGGCCCCCACCCAGCATCCCGATACAGGAAAGTCGTCGGATCGGACCGACCAATCAGCTTACTCCCAAGCTCCTCCTGATTGGCCGCATGCCCCAGCACCAACCCTCCCAACGCCTTTAGCGCCTGCGTGCGAATCGCCGTAGAGTTAACCAATGGGTCGAAGGCCAGAGCCAGCAGAGAATCCATCAGCTTTGCGTGGCCCAGGAGGGTTTGGTTGGCGATCAGGTTCGTGTCATCTTTCAGGGTGGGCGCGTGGGGGTTACGAGCGAGCAGCAGAGCGACTGTTTCAAGCCCGCACAAGAGATTCGCCGCCTTCTGCCGGGTCAGAGGCTCTGTTCTCTCCATACTGCTGCCGCCACTGCTGCCGCCGCCGCCGCCGCTGCTGTTGGTAGTTTCGTTGCTGGTGGTGCTGGTGCTGTTGCTGCCGGCGCCAGCAGCAGTGGTGGCGTATTTCCGGAGGGAGAGGAGCAGAGCAGGGATGCGGGACAGGCCGAGGGTTTCCCGGAGGAAGATTTGATTCGATACGTTGGATCGGAGAAGGTTGTTGATGAGCTCTATGCAGTCCTGTACGACGATGCCCCCATCCGCCCCTCCCTCATCGCGAATGATGTTGAGTGCTCGCTCAAAGGCGCCCTCGAATACCACTATCTTTTGAATCTCCTGGTGAAGGGAGAGACAGGGAGAGGAAATGGAGAGAGGGAGGGAGAGAGGGAGAGAGGGAAGGAGAAAGGGGGAGGGGGGGAGAGACAGAGGGGAAAAGAGCAAACGGAATTTGGAAGAGGGAAGGGAAGAGGGGAGTGAGGGGTGCGGTGGAGCGGAGGAGGTTGTTGATGAGCTCTATGCAGTCTTGAACAATGATGCCCCATCCGCCCCTCCCTTGTCTCGGATGATGTTGAGCGCTCGCTCAAAGGCGCCCTCGAATACCACTATCTTTTGAATCTCCTGGTGTGGGGAAAGAGGGAGGGAGACCAGCCGAGAGGAGGAAAGAAAGAGGGGGAGAGAGGAGGAGATAGGGGAGAGATGGAGAGAGAGGGGGAGAAAAGAGGGAGGGGAATGAAGGGTGCGGTGGAGAGGAGAAGAGGAGGAGGAGGTCGTTGATGAGCTCTGTGCAGTCTTGAACCACGATGCCCCCATCCGCCCCTCCCTCGTCGCGGATTATGTTCAACGCCCTCTCGAACACGCACTCGAATACGATAATCTTTTGGATTTCCTGTTGGGAGAGGGGGGTAAAGGGGAAGAAGGGGACAGGGGGGGAGACAGGGGGAAAGAGTGAGAGAAACATAAAATGGGGGGAGAGGGGAGTGAGGGGTGCGGAGAAGAGGAGGAGGTTGTTGATGAGCTCTGAGCAGTCTTGTAATGCAGTGCCGTTTTGGTGCACAGTGCATTTTTGACGTACAATGCACAGCAAAAGTCCTCAAAAGTGACTCCAATGCACTGCACTGTCCACATTCAACGTACCTCGGCAGAGCGTGTGAGGTTGATCATGAGAACGAGAGCCTCGTTGCGAATCACCTGAGCAAGCCATGTGCCATAAAACAAGCCCGTAAATTCCATGCCATGTCATGCCATACCATGCCACCCCATGCCATGCCATGCCAATCAATATGCCATGCCATGCCATGCAATGCCATGCCATGCCATGCCATGCCATGCAATGCCATGCCATGCAATGCCATGCCATGCCATGCCATGCCATGCCATGCAACCCAAGCAGCATGTCACAATCAGGCACATGATTTCAGAACCATCACATGCAGTAACAGTGATAGTATAGGGTATTTTTGAGAATTCTACAAAATACCCTGCGATATTATACACAGCGCAAAAAAAAAGAATGTCATTTATTACTTTCTCAAGGGAAAAGGGCAGCGTAAGGGTGGGTTGGAACAGGGAGGCTGTTGAGTTGGGAAGAATGTAATTTATTACTTTCTCAAAAGAAGCGTGCAAACAACAATGCTGGTGAAAAGGAAAGAATAACGATGGATAAGGGTTGGGAGGGAAAGAAAGGGGGGGTGGATCGGAAAGGGGGTGTGGGCGGGTGGAACAGTGAGACTGAAAACGAACATACAGCAACAGAGAGCGAAAGATTAGCATTCGGTGAAGGGTTGGGGGGTAAGGGTTGGGGTGGACGGGCGGGTGGAAGGGAGGGGTGGAATGGGAGGGGGGCAGGGGTGGGGGGGACGGGGGCGGGTGGAACGATGAGAGTGAAGAAGAACATACAGCAACAGAGAGCGGCAATCTCACAGAAACAGGGTAACAGTTCTGTCAGGCCAGCCTTTCCATCATCTCCCACTCGTTCAGTGCCATCATATCCATGAGCCACCCTATGCCCCCCGAAGCTCAAAGCCCGAAGCCCCACACCCCAAGCCTGAAGCCCCTCACCTCAAGGGCCCTGGGCTCTTGACCTCTACTCTCCTCTCATCGCCTCGCCTCCCTCTCATTGAGAGCCATCATATCCATGAGCCGCCCCACGCCCAAACTCCAAAAAGCTCAAGCCCCAAACCTCAAGCCCCACCTCCTACGTGCCTCACACTTAACAAGTCTCAAACTCTCAAAGTCCCATCGCCTCACCTCTCGCTCGTTCAGAGCCATCATATCCATGAGCCGCCCCACGCCCTGTGGTATCACCAATATGGCCTCCTGTAGCCTGCATGTCATGCCATACCATGCCATACCATGCCATACCATGCCATGCCATGCCATGCCATGCCATGCCATGCCATGCCATGCCATGCCATACCATGCCATGCCATGTCATCCACCCAAGCCATGTCAGCACACAGGCCATGTCAGCACACAGGCCATGTCAGCACACAGGCCATGTCAGCACACAGGCCATGTCAGCACACAGGCCATGTCAGCACACAGGCCATGTCAGCACACAGGCCATGTCAGCACACAGGCCACGTCAGCACACAGGCCATATCAGCACACATGTCATGTCAGACGCAGGCCAGAGGATCACATTCTGTGCAAACGCGACCAGCAAGTAGGCGTCTCAACAAGAACTGCAGCAGGCAAGTGAATGCCACTACATGTTCGTTCCTGTTTGCATGGCCAACTTTTGAGACGAGGGTATGGAACAGCTTTTAAAAGGAAGAGCTTTCGAGTTTTAAATCAAGCATCTTCGGAGCTCCGAGTTTCGAGCTTTCGGAGTGCTCCTCGTGCCGTGTTTGAACGATGTTAACTGAGCGAGGTGTTTAAACAGGTCTGTCTGCTTGCCCCTGCCTCACCTGTGCGGACAGTTGGAGAGCAGGATAGTGAGCAGCTGTACGGTATGGTAGCGAATGTAAAAGTCCTCCTCCTCCTGTTGAGGTGACGGGAAAGACAGGGCCAAGACAGATAGGGCGAGGGAGCGGAGCAGGGGAGCATATAGATAGGGAGGAGCGGAGCAGGGGAGCACCGGGAGAGAGGGAGATGGTGAGAGGATATAGAAATATTCCCTCCTCCTGCTGAGGGGACGGCAGGGAAGACAAGCCCAAGAGGAAGAGGATGAGGGAGTGGGGAAGCATGTAGGTAGTGAACGTAAAAGTCTTCCGTCCCCTGTAGGCGATAAATGTCACACTCAGCATCAGTCGCTCCCCTTGCCCTCTCTTACTCCTTCCCTGACTCAGCCCCTCACCAGCAGCAAATCCTCCACCTCCCCCCCCAACACCACACACGGCCACTCACGAGCAGCGCCAGCAGCAGAAGAATCATTCAAATCTATGCACTGTGAACACACATCCCCTCTTGCCCTCTCGCCCTCTCGCCCTCTCTCTTGCTGCCCTTGCACACAACCACTTGCGCTGGCTCTCCCACCACCACAGCCACTAACCAGCAGCGCGATGCTGTGCGGCTCGCGTGCAAAGAGCTCCGAGTTGATCACCCCTGGCGCCACCCGCTGCTGCTGCCCTGCCAACCCCCCCCCCCCCCCCCCCCCCCCCCCCCCCCGTGCTGCCCTGCTAGGCCCTCCCAGCACAACCACAAACCAGCGTCTCTTCCCCTTACACATCCACTTACTAGCAGACCGAGCAGCAGTGGAATGCTGTGTGGATCGCGAGCAAAGAGCTCAGGTTTGATCACCCCTGGCGCCACCCGCTGCTGCTGCTGCCCTGCTAGGCACTCCCCGCACAACCACTAACCAACATCTCCCCCCATTTCACGGCGACTCACCAATAATGCCAACAGCAGTGCGATGCTGTGGGGTTCACGCGCAAAGAGCTCAGGTTTGATCACCCCTGGCGCCACCCGCTGCTGCTGCTGCCCTGCTAGGCACTCCCCGCACAACCACTAACCAACATCTCCCCCCATTTCACGGCGACTCACCAATAATGCCAACAGCAGTGCGATGCTGTGGGGTTCACGCGCAAAGAGCTCAGGGTTGATCACCCCTGGCGCCACCCGCTGCTGCTGCTGCCCTGCTAGGCACTCCCCGCACAACCACTAACCAACATCTCCCCCCATTACACGGCGACTCACCAATAATGCCAACAGCAATGCGATGCTGTGGGGTTCACGCGCAAAGACCTCCGAGTTGATCACCCCTGGCGCCACCCGCTGCTGCTGCCCTGCCCACCTTCCCCCCCTGTTCTCCTGCTAAGCCCCGCACAGCTACTCACCAGCAATGCCAACAGCAATGCGATGCTGTGCGGTTCGCGTGCGAAGAGCTCCGAGTTGATCACCCCTGGCGCCACCCGCTGCTGCTGCTGGCCCCACTCCCTCTGCTCCGCCGCGGCCCCTCCTCCTGCCCCTGCTGCCAACCCTGCCACCAGCACCTCTAGAGCTCCCCGAATCTGAAAAAAATCGAGAAAAAAGGTGCAATTAAGAACAAAATTGGGAAAAAGAGAGTCAGAATCAAAACGAAGGTGACAGAGGGAAAGGGATAGGGTATAGGGGGGGATGGAGGACGGGGGAAGAGAAATGTTAAAAACCATCCAAACCAGCAAGGGGAATGGGAAGAGCAAGAGGCATACGTTGCCAGTTGTTCTCCTCCACCGCTCTCTCTTTCTCCTCTCACTTGTTCACTAGCTTCTTGCTGACTCTCTCATCACTCAGATGCCCTCCTATCCCCTCACTCCTCTCGGAAAACCGCTCGCCTCCCTCCAATCACTCACTTACTCACTCACTCCTTCATTCTCTAACTCACCAGGTCCACGTCCTCTCGGTCCTCCCGCAATACGGATAGCAGCACAGGGATACCTGCCACGTCACACGCACACAAGCACATGCGCACATGCACACGCAGACACGCGCATGCAGATGCCCACACAAGTGCAGGCAACACACGCACACGTACGGCAGATTGAGCAAGGGGGAGAAGAAGGGAAGGGGATGTTGGGACGGCAATAGTAAAAGTACGTGCTTGTTTGAGGTCGCTCGTACAAGCACAGCAGGCATACGCGACTCGAGCTGCACAGGCTGTCTTCGTACCGTGCTATCTGTGCAACTGTGCGAAATGGTGTAGCGTGAATGTGCGAGAGGATAGGTCTATCCGTGCAATATGCTGCTGTCTGTGCGACGTGATGTCTGTGCGACTGGCTGTGCGACAGTCTCTCACCCATAGCTCCCAGCGCCTGCTGTGCGACAGGGCTGTCCGTGACGACGTCGCGCAGGTCGGCCATGGCGGACTGGCGATCCTCTGCGAGTACTCCATTGCTGATGCGATCCAGCAGCCGCTCCACTCCGCTGTTAACGCGTACAGAGTGTAGCGCGGCATGCGTGCAGCGGCGAATCAGGGAGAGTGAAAACGTAAGCCAGGGACGGTGAATACATCGGGAAAGTACGATCTAGTATTGGCAGCAGGGATCGCCATGTAAGCATGAAACTTAAACAGACATAATCCAGGAACCAACTAAGGGGCTAAGGAAATTAAATCGTATAGGGATCAACAATGACATTCATTCCGTCGCACGGCATCGCACGACGCGTCGCAGGTCATCGCTTACCCGTCGTCTTCTTGGTCGTCGCCGCTTCCGAAGACGAGGCCTCCCACCCCCTGCGCGACGGCGCCCAGATTTAACCGCCCGAGCTTAAACGCCATGGCCGCTCGATGGATTTAATTACTCCGAGATTACTCCGAGAAACTCTATAACGGAGATCACCGAATCTGACACCTGGCAAAGACGAGGACTGTATAACGCTACATACGAGTTTTGTTACCCCATTTTGCTAGAGTATCTCAGCTGCAGATTCGGCAACCACAGGCAAAGGCTAAAGCTGAAGCAGAGGCTGGCTGTGGTTGATAGACGGCGCGATAGATAGAAAGACGGACGGACGAAGGACTCCTCAGCCTATTGTCTTGTTTCTGGAGCAATTTTCTGTGAAAAAATCACGAGATTTCGTGAAAGAACGAGCCACGTGGCTCGAAACGAGTGGGCAGGACGTGAGCACGCAAGCTTTTGCAAGGAAACGCGTAAGCGACTGCGATCGGATAGATATTCCTCCCTCCACAACGACTACCATCCAGGAGAGCAGCGGAATATGGCGGTAGTACAGTACTGTACTTCAACCACAGCAGCACAAGTCGCTGCAGAAAGCTGATGAGGTAAATTATGACGGATTATGCGGGAAAATCCGAGAAAGTCCGCGATTCGCGGAGTGGCTAGACGGCAGAGGTGGTAGCTTTGGGTTTGGTATGACAAGGAGAAACGCATCTGATGGAGCGGCTGCTTGGCTTAGCGCGCTTCATCAGAACCAGACCCGAGTCTAAGCGTTACGACGTTGATACATCAATTGGTGTAGCTCTACCATTTAGAGTATATATTACATTACTATGTCTTGAACGTCTATGTTCATGCTATGGTGACACACAGATCATATGGTAGGTTAAACATGCTGTAAGAATATAATTTCAGAATTCCAAACTCAGCAGCACGCTTTCTTGCACTCTAGGGAGAACAATAGCACCAATGTTCTTATTTGGAATGGCAGGCGGGCTGGCATCCGTCCCATTGTCCCAGCATGCATGCTGATACGGTAGCCTGATTGGCATCTATATGTTTTGAGTTGGCCTGTCCTGCCATTGTGTTGGCTGCACTCACACAAGCAGAGACACTCTTTCTCTCCCAACCAGCATTCCCTCACTTCTGTTTTCCTCCCTCTCCACCCTTTCTCTCTCTCTCACCAATCCTACCCTCGCCTCGCCTCCCTGCCGGCCCTCTTCCATCATGAAAGCACCAGTTGAAGAGCATAAGACAATAAGATTATTGACTGAATGCCTAGGTTGTGCACCCTGCAAGTAAAATCAAAACGTTTGCCATTACTGGAAAATCCACCGGTAAGCCCCTTCCAAGACCTCTCAACACTACAGAATTACCCCTCAAACGGCTCAAAGTACTTCCTATCCAACAAAAAAGCGCCATGGCCGAACCGAATCGCCCATGTGTCCTTCGGCCGGCGGTCCGTAATCCTTCCTGCGTCCCCCACTCTGATAATTCCGTCGTTCCGCCGAAGCATTGGCATAGGTTCGGCAGACTTCACGAACGGAGGCTCGGCTACAATAACTACGGCGGTTCCGCTCTGAAGCACTATGTTGCTGCTGCTACCGCCGCTTCCTTCGCCGTCGGATCCGCTAGGGGACGCCCCGTCAGCAGCTGCCAGAGCTAAGACACGTGCGCGCACGTGGCTTGCGCAACATTGTGATTGGCTGGCGATGCGAATTAAACTGAACGAAGATGCTCCAGCCTGATGATGACTGGATGCGGACGAAACCGACGGTGGCGGTCGTCTTAGGGACGTGAACCGTGAAGATGCAGGGAGTTGGCGAGCTCCAGCTACTGGAAGAGGAAGAGAAGTCGCCATGGGGTCGGCAACCAGCTGGGAAAAGGAAGTCGCTCGCTCCTTAGACCAATTGTCCGAGCAGTGCTAAGGAAAATGGGCTAACAATCAACCTAGTTCCCGCAATCATGGCACAATTCCCGTTACAAGGCCGAGGCGGGCTTGACAATTTCAAACTTCAACCTCATCAGCAATTGTAAGAAACAATAGTGAAATTAGCTTCAACTTCATTATTGAGAAATGGTCTGAAATTCGCAAAGGGAACATTTGAAATCAATATCTTATTTCTGAATATTATTATGTGGAACTTGAAGGGGGACAATTACCTGAATTCTTTTTTACGCTATATACAAGGAACATTAACATTATTATAGTATATTCTGTAGTTTTCTTATGAGCACTAAATTGTTGCCAAATTGCAGGCCCATGTCTATTGGCTAGAACGCAGCGCGTTTGCCTCATCAACTCGGGCGACTCCGAGCCGACAGCAGGGCCACATCAGACCCACGATGAGCCATGCTTGGGTCAGCCCCCTCGAGCCCCCTAGCCAGCCAAATCCCGGCAGACTGTACTTTCCAAACCTGTTACTTGGGTTCGGTTCAAATCGCTCGCCAACTTGCCCTGCTATTTCACCTTCCAGGTCGGTTTGGTGCGCCTCGGGCGGAAGGGCCAAATTGCTTTGGGAAGGCGCAGGTTGTGCGCGGAGGTGAAATTGCACTTTCGAACGGTTCGGGTCGGGTGGATTGCACGCATGAGTAGCACCAGGCCAGACTGGAGAAATTGCGGCATTGTTGATTCAAATCAACTAGACAAGGCCTCTCCCTTTCTAGCAGCCATTTACAGCCTCCACGTTCTCGCTTTGCTTTGCGTCTCTCGTAAGCTCTTCCACTCTACCCGCGCACATATCGCGGCGCACATACACGCCGCACGGAGAAAATTCTGCAACAACTGCAGCCCGCTAGTGACTTGCATCCCTTCAACCTGTCCGCCTCGTTAGATTCTGCATTAGCTAGGTTCTTCTACATACCGCAAAATAATCACGTCTCTGGGAAAAACGTGCAACCGAAGAAGCGCACCACTACGCCAAGAGTACGAGCGCAAGTTAAAGGCCGAGGCCATGGCCGCGCGCGTTCCTGCGACGCACGTCATTGGCGTCCTCCTCATCGTCCTGTTGCTGCGGCCCGAATGCTCCCAAGCCCAAGGCGAGTTCTCGCACCGCGTGTTGACTCTAATGACAGCTCTCTTGAATCTTTATAACCCAATGTATAAGACGGAAATCCCAGGTTGGTCTCGCTGTCGTTTCTCCGAGCCGCCGCGCATTACTCTGGAATGCACGCTTCTGCGTTTGCGCTTGTATGGCTCTCTGCGCGCCCCGTCACGTACCGCGCATGTTGCCACTGAACGCAGCAACGCATGCACGACTTACAGCACCTTCATGTCGAACTCACAATGCCTTCCCAATTATTTCTTAATCGATACCGCCTTCAACCCGCACGTCGTTTGTGCAGAGTCGATAAAAGGCGTCGCGCTCATCAGGGGTGCGTCAGGGGAACTAGCCCCGCAGAGTGCAAAAATGTAAGGAGTTCCCCCTTTTGTTTCGTCGACTCAAAAGCTGGCCCCGCAGAGGCATTTGCTTGCCACGACCCTTCGTTTCCATCAATTTCGCCTCGCAAGTTCCTTCAAAGCTAGTTCTTCTATTCTATTGGACTCGAAAATTTCTCTTTGCAACACTCTGATTGCGCGACGAGTTTCCCACCCCATCGTCTCCCTTCCATCACATTTTCACCATGCCGCCACCTGCATTCCCCGCAGAGCTTATTGCATTCCCCTTGTTTCACTTCGCTCGAGTTCTTGCATCCCGATTGGTCCAACCCTGTCCATTGGAACAATGACACCTTGCCTTTTCCATTCGCCACCATTCCCCTTGCTTCATTCCCTTTCCTTAACATTCATCGTCCTACCACATCCATGTCTCCGCGAAACCTTTTCGCCCTCACCAGAGCCGCTGCCACGTCATCACAAACGAACACCTTCGACCCCGCAGTGGCGGACGTTGTGACGGCGGAGGCGGCGGCGGCGGCGAAGCGGTCGCGCGCGCCGCTGCGATACAGTCGCAAGGAGGTGATCTCGTCGTTCAACAAGGCGGCGCACCTCCTTCGACTCTCCGCGAATAGCTTGTCGCAATCGTCACCGTAAGTCGCGTTTCTTTTGAGTCGCGAATAGAAAGTTAACTAGACATCATGTGAGATTGTAACAAAATGGTTTCAGAGACGCCTCAAAGGCGCACCTCCTGCGACTCTCCGCGAATAGCTTGACACAACCGTCACCGTTAGTCGCGTTTCCCTTGAGTCGCGTTCGTGTGACTTTTGAGTCGACTCAAAAGTCTCCGCGAATAGCTTGACGCAATCGTCACCGTGAGTCGCGTTCACCTTGTGTCTCAGTTTCGCGGTGTTTCACGACTCACCCGCTCTCCCCTATACCCCTTCCTCACCTCCCCCTTCTCCCCGCTTCCCCCCTCCACCCTCCCCCTCCCATACCCCCCACCCCATCACCCCCACCGCAAGTATTTCTCTCGTCTGTTTACGGCAATGCAGGCGTTTCGCAACGCAGTGACGTTGGTGGAGATGGGAAAGCGCAAGTACAACCTTGGCATTTCCGCCTGTTGACAACATCCTCCTCCCCTCCTCGTGCAGCAGAAGCTTGCCGAACCAGCCTTGTGACCATATTTCCCTCCTCTTCTGCCCCTCTCCCCATCTCCCCTCCCCCCCTTTTCTCCCCCCCTTTTCTCCCCCCATCTTCCCAGGCACTTTACTCGCCTGTTCACGGCGATGCAGGCGTTTCGCAATGCAGTTGCGCTGGTGGAGATGGGAAAGCGCAAGTACAACCTCGCAGAGCCGCAGATACCCAACTGCATTCTCCCTCTCATACCCCCCCCCCCCTTCCTCAGGCACTTTACTCGCCTGTTCACGGCAATGCAGGCGCTTCGCAACGCAGTGACGCTGGTGGAGATGGGCAAGCGCAAGTACAACCAACCTAGCAGAGCCCCACATGCTCAACGGCATTCTCCTCCCCACAAACCCCCCCCTCCCCCCCCCCCCCCCCCCCCCCCCGTTCAGGCACTTTACTCGCCTGTTCACAGCGATGCAAGCCTTCCGCAACGCAGTGGCGCTGGTGGAGATGGGCAAGCGCAAGTACAACCTAGCCGAGCCACAGATGCTCAACGGCATTCTCATCGCGAAGCAGGAGATTCCCAAGATCGAGCCTGCGCAGCTGGCTCGGGAGCTGGGTCGGCAGCTCACCCAGCCTGAGAGCCAGGCTCGGAACTACGCGGTTTCGGCGCTGAGGGTGGCTCAGAATGGGCTGACGTCGTTTGAGGTGCAGAAGAACACGAAGAGGCAGCAGGAGCTGAGAGATCAGCAGCTGCAGCGGGTGCAGAAGGAAAAACAGCAGCAGCAGCAGCAGCAGCAGCAGAAGCAGCAGGGGGTGCAGGGGCAAGGTGGTGGTCAGTAATGGTCGCACGCCAAACCTTTATACATTACTGTGACTCCAATTTCAACTTCTAACGAGCAGAAGCAGGATGGAGCCCAGGACCAGGTGGTTGGAGGGGTTGGTGAGGATCAGTCAATTTTGTACATTTTGTCCTAATGATGAATAATCAGAAGCGTGTGTAGATGGATATTGATTTAGTGAAAGGTTCATTTTATTTTAACTATAATGGATTCTGATAAAGGATGGACAATGCTAATGCTGTATTGAGCAAGCTTGCTGCTGATGCAATTTCTGACTTCCTAGCGGATGATTTGATAACGCACACACGCAACGTCAGATCACGCTCCCAATTGGTCCTCTACGCGGCAGCCTTAGAGCCACGTTGCACTTTCTCTGGTCTCGAAGTGCCACGTGGATCCTTGAAAAAGAATGAGGACCCTCGGATTTGTCGACCACCCCTATATGCACCTGGTGGGAGAAAGTGATCCAACCAAGCTTTTGTTCATCAGTGAAATTTGTCCTCGAAACAATGTGTGTTTGTCAGCCCAGTAACTCTCCCTTTCAGAACAGATCGCTCGGAGTAAACAGCAGCACAAGTACTTTTCATTCTCCCCGCATTCGAACCAGGTGCGGAGCGGTTAAAAGCGGTGCCACAGCCATGTTTTTCCAAAGTAAAAGCGATGTGCCGTGATTCCATCCTTGCCCGAGAGCTCCCTTGGGAACTCCACTCCACACATTCCACACTAGATTTTCTGCGAAGACCTGCAGCCCAGCCTGTTTCTGTGTAGCAGAACGGCTGCAGTGTTGCGCGGATAAAGGTTATAGGTATCATTGTCTGCGCCATTGGGGGTTGGACGTCAATTTACGATCGTCACTTGGCTTTCGCGCCTCGCGCTTCTGCAGTTGAGACCTTTATTAGAAGCGTTTCGCGTGTAACTCGTTTTCGGGAGTTTCGAGTAACCGCGTCGCAATGGCGAGCACCGCAGCTTGCGCTGCGTCGCTAGTTCGCCCTCATGGGCCCAGCACAGCTTTTGATCGCAGCCGCTCACTCAGTACCGACACGTCAGCACACGCGTTATCTGCGTCAGCCAGCCAAATTCACAGACATACGATCTCGTATAGGAAAAATGCTTACAGCGGGTGCTCCAATGGCGGGAGTGCGAACTCCAGGCCTACTCCGTTTAGAAATTCCTTAATCCCGTCCACACATTTAGTGTCGGTAGGTTCTAGGAGGCTGTTGGCGACAGGCGAGCCGCTTACCTCTAGGTTCGAACCGCGTAGGTCGCGGATCGTTAGTCCGAGGCGCACGCAATTGGCGACCCGAGCAGCCGTAGACACGTCACCTCCTTCCACCGGCCTCCGTGGCAGCAGCAGCAGCAACCGCCGGCCGCGTAGCATTCCCACCGGCGGGAATGGCGCCGCGATTTCCGCAAATGGGTCGGCCACGCGATTCGCGCCGGGAGCGGCACAACAGCAGCCGCAGAAGCGACCGTTGGAACGATCGAAAGACCGAATCTTCGAGGAAGATCCGGCGGAAGAAGCGGCCGCCGCGCGCCGAGCGATCGGCGCTCCGCTGTACGACGCGCAAGGGCTCGCGAAATTCTACTCGAAGCGACCGTTAGAGGTTGTCGGTCGAGCGCTGCGCGTCACGACAGCACTCGGTTCCGTCGCCGTCTCCGTCCTGATCGACCGGCAGCGCGGCCAGCTAGACGCCAACATGCCGCGCCGAGCCTCGCAGCTTCGGCGCGCGCTGACGAGCCTCGGCCCCACGTTCGTGAAGCTAGGTCAGGCGCTCTCCACCCGGCCGGACCTGTGCCCGCCGGCTTATCTGGACGAACTCGCGCTGCTGCAGGACGCGCTGCCGACGTTTCCCGACGCAGAGGCGTTTGCGTGCATAGAGGGCGAGCTGGGCCGACCTATGGAAGCCATGTTCGAATCTATCAGTCCTTCACCAATTGCTGCTGCCAGTCTTGGTCAGGTGAGCCCCCGCCCTGCTCACACACACTTTACCTTTGATGGCGTTTGCGTGCATAGAGGGCGAGCTGGGCCGACCGATGGAAGCCATGTTCGAGTCTATCAGCCCGTCTCCCATTGCTGCTGCCAGCCTTGGTCAGGTGAGCCCCCACCCCATCCTCCTCACACACCATTGATGGCGTTTGCGTGCATAGAGGGCGAGCTGGGCCGACCGATGGAGGCCATGTTCGAATCTATCAGCCCGTCTCCGATTGCCGCTGCCAGTCTTGGGCAGGTGAGCCCCCACCCTGCTCACACACACTTCACCATTGATGGCCTTTGCGTGCATAGAGGCCGAGCTGGGTCGCCCCGTGGAAGCTAACACCCAGCGATGTTCAAGTCTAATACCCAGGATGGGGGCTCTCACCCATCACTGCTGCGAGCCTTGGGCGGCACTGGGCAGCACTGGGCAGCACTGGGCATTGGGCAGCATTGAGCATTGGGCAGCACTGTCTCCGTGTGTGTGTGTGTATCATCCATGCAAGTGAACTTTAACGTCACCCCAAAGAGGCGTTCGCGTGCATAGAGGGCGAGCTGGGCCGACCTATGGAAGCCATGTTTGAGTCTATCAGCCCGTCACCAATTGAGCTGAGTCGACTCGACTCTCTCTCTCTCTCTCTCTCTCTCTCTCTCTCTCTCTCTCTCTCTCTCTCTCTCTCTCTCTCTCTCTCTCTCTCTCTCTCTCTCTCTCTCTCTCTCTCTCTCCCTCTGCTTCAATACCTCTGTCCCTTTCCTCCCTCCCCACCTTCCAGGTGTACAAGGCGCGTCTGATAGGAGGCACGGAAGTGGCAGTGAAGGTGCAGCGACCAGGCATCACAACAGCCATCGGGCTGGACTTTCTGCTCATTAGGGGGCTGTGCTCGCTCATCGATAAATACGTTGACTCGCTCACCACCAGCGTACGTGCGGTGCAGTGCGGTAGTGTGCGGTGCAGTTCGGTACTGTGGAAACATAGTGCGGTACTGTGCGGTGGAATGCATGTATAGCACCTGCGTAGGAATCACAACTGCCATCAGGCCGGACTTTCTGCTCATCAGGAGGATGTGTGCTTGATCTAAACATTCACATCGCCTTTCCCCTTTTCCCACTCCGTTCTCTCCCCCCCTGTCTCCCCCTGGACCCTGCCAGTCCGTGGCGCTTCTAGACGAGTTCGCAGACAGGGTATACCAGGAGGTATGTGGCTCGATTCTTCTTCCTCCCATTCTTAGAAATTTAAAAGAAATGACTCCAACAGGGTTTTTTTGGACTTAAGTGACGCAAGTCTTATTCCTCTCTTTCCTCCTCCCATAATCTTCGGCCTCCCCACTTTCTTGGTTACATCTGATCAGTTTCGCACTTGTAAGCAGTCGTTTTAGATGCCCTGCTTTCTCACCCCAATCAGTTGGGAGGGTGGCTTGAATGATTTAGCTGCGCTTGTTTTTGTTTCGCTGAGTCAGCAAACTACAGGGGACTCTGTGGTTGGGGACCGAGATTAGCAAATTGCCGAGTTGAGAAACCACAGTTGGGGACTTTCAGCAGCGAGTGTTGCCTCGACCAATCAGAATGTTTCGCACCCACAGTAACCAGGATTTGGCAAAGAGAGAACAAAAACGCAAGGTGTGCAAGATCAGTAATCCTGCTCTGTGCGCTCCGCAATTTGGGCCTAGAGCTTTATCCCACCCTACCCCACTTCGCCCACCCCACCTCGTCCCACCCCACCTCGTCCCACCCCACTTCGCCCACCCCACCTCGTCCCACTTCTCCCCACCCCACCTCACTCCTCCCCACTCCTCCATCTCAGCTAAACTATGTCCAAGAGGCTCGCAATGCCCGGCGCTTTCGGCAGCTGTATGGCAACCAGAACGGGGTGTATGTGCCGCAGGTGAGGGGTTGAGAGCGGTGGAGAGGGGTGGGAAGGGGTGCAGGGATGGAAGGTGAGGGTCGCGATTTCGGCAGCTGTATGGCGACCAGAACGGGGTGTATGAGATGGTGGTGGTTCAAAGGGGTGGAAAGGAGTGGGGAGGATTGAGGGTGAGTCGCTTTTGGCAGCTGTATCGCGCAACACGTCGTGCCGAGTGCAGTGCATGGAGTGGGTGGATGGGGTGAAGCTGAGGGGAGCACAGCAATAGGAGAACACACCTAGAGGCATGCACGCTCATGTACATGCATACACTGCCATGGTGCCACGCCCCGCTCCCCAATGCAGATCGTCTGGCGCAACACATTGTGCCGGGTGCTGTGCATGGAGTGGGTGGATGGGGTGAAGCTGAGGGGAGCGACGGGGACACACACCCAACCACACACTCATTCATGCACTGCCATCCATCCTCCCACCCTCCACAGATTGTGTGGCGCAACACGTCGTGCCGGGTGCTGTGCATGGAGTGGGTGGACTGTGGATGGGGTGAAGCTGAGGAATTGATGAGCATACACACCTAGAAGCACACTATCCCACCCACCGCAACCACTCCCATACCCCCCCACTCCAATGCAGATCGTCTGGCGCAACACATTGTGCCGGGTGCTGTGCATGGAGTGGGTGGATGGGGTGAAGCTGAGGGGAGCGACGGGGGCACACACCCAACCGCCCGCCCACCCACCCACCCACCCCCCCCCCCCCACACACACACACGCACACACACACACACACACACACACACACTCATTCATGCACTGCCATCCATCCTCCCACCCTCCACAGATCGTCTGGCGCAACACATCGTGCCGGGTGCTGTGCATGGAGTGGGTGGACGGGGTGAAGCTGAGCGATGCAGCGAGCATGAGGCAGAACAACTTGGATGTCATTGATTTGGTTGACATCGGCATCCAGTGCTCCCTCCGGCAGTTGCTCGAGTGAGTTCAGTGCGGTTGAGTGCGGTTGACTTGGGTTGACTGGTGTTGACTTGCCTGTCTGTGGGGTGAAGCTGAGCGATGCAGCGAGCATGGGGCAGAACAACCTGGATGTGATTGACCTCGTTGACATCGGCATCCAGTGCTCCCTCCGGCAACTGTTGGAGTGAGTTGACTTGGGTTGACTTGGGTTGACTTGCTTGACTTTAGGGTGGAGCTGAGAGCATGAGGCAGGTCAACTTAGATGTCATTGACCACGTGGACATTGGGATACGATGCTCCCTCAGGCAGTTGTTGGAGTGAGTTTGTGCTGTTGTCTCGTGTGGATTTGTATCGCGTTGACTTGCTTGACTTGCTTGTCTTGCTTGACTTCAGGGCGTAGCTGAGCAATTCGATTTTAACCTCATCCGCGTCAAGCATCACTCCACCTTCCCAGCTGTCCCCACCAATCCCAAACCCCCATCACTCCTCTTCACCCCTCATCACCGCTCTCCACTTTTCTCCACCCCTTTCCACCGCACAGGTTCGGCTACTTCCATGCAGACCCCCATCCCGGCAACCTGCTCGCCATGTCTGATGGTCGCCTGGCCTTCCTTGACTTTGGTGCGTGATATCACTGGACACTCACTCACTCACTCACTCACTCACCCACTCACTCACTCACTCACTCACTCACCCACTCACTCACTCACTCACTCACTCCCTCACTCACTCACTCACTCACTCACGCACACACTCACCCGTTCACTTATTCGCTCACTCCTTGGCCTTTTCCTGGGCTCGTTGCCTCTCTGCGCCATCCTGCACCGCACCATACCTCTCTGCATCCCTCTACACCTCTACTTGATGCTCTTCTTGCTTCTTCTTTGTGCACGATCAGCCATTACAGGCCATGTAGTTGCTCCACTGTCCTCCTCCTACCCCAGCCACACTGCACTGCAGTGCACTGCATGCAACCGCACTGCACCCCATCTTGCACCATGACAACCCCATGTCAAACAGGCATGATGAGTGAGACTCCTCTGCGTGCCCAATTCTCCATCACAGGCCAAGTGAATGCCCCACAGTCCTTCTCCCAACCGCACTGCACCACATTGTACCTCATGTGGGACCATACCAACCCCTTTGCATCCCTCCGCTCGCCAGGCATGATGAGTGAGACGCCTCCTCGAGCCCGTTTCGCCATCATAGGCCACGTCGTGCATCTGGTGAACCGGGACTATGAAGCCATGGCTCGTGATTATTACGGTAAGCACTTGTGAACGATTATATGTTTGTCTCTACATCATAGGCCATGTGCCATGCCATGCGGTTGCGATAAAGCCTTCTTCCCTCTCTCCCTTTTCTCCTCGTCCCTCTCTCCCTTTTCTACTTGTTCCTCTCTCCCCCCCACCAGAGCTGGACTTTCTAGACCCCTCAGTGGACGTGGCGCCCATAGTGCCGGCTTTAAGAGGCTTCTTCGATGACGTGCTGCAGGTGGGCGGAGGGGCGCCGGGTGGGGTGGGGTGGGATGGGATGGGGTGGGGTGGGATGGGGTGGGGTGGGATGGGGTGGGGTGGGATGGGGTGGGGTGGGGTGGGGTGGGGTGGGCATGGGCTTGGAGTGAACCATCAGTGGACGTGGCGCCCATAATGCCGGCTTTAAGAGGCTTCTTTGATGACGTGCTGCAGGTGGGGTGGTGGATGGGTGGGGTGGGGAGGGTCGCCCCATGATATGCTCTGCAATCTGCTAAGGGGATATGCAATCTGTATCCTGACATCCCCTTAGCAGGGTCTTGGAAATTGTTTGCTAATGCATGCCATATACCCCTACACTCACCATCAACGCCTATCTCATTTCGTCTTCTCATCAGGCAACTGTGAGCGAGCTCAATTTCAAAACCATAGTGGATGGGCTGGGGGCAGTGCTCTATCAGTACCCCTTCAATGGTGAGTGATTTGCTGGTATAACCTTTAAGAGGTGAGTAGCTTGCATATTTACCCGTTTGATGATCATAATGATGGTGACTATTTTGCTTATACACCCCTTCCAAGACGACTACTTTTCCTGTATGCCTTATTACTGCACCACTTTCCACCCCACTGTCCCCTTCCCCCACGCAGTCCCAGCCTACTATGCACTTATCCTCCGCTCCCTCACGGTGCTTGAAGGCTTGGCACTCTATTCGGATCCCAATTTCAAGGTGAGTCGGCATGCCTCTTGTACTCCAATCGCCTCTTTTGAGTCGACTCAAAAGTCAACTCATCCTTCGCTCCCTCACAATGCTCAAAGGCTTGGCACTTTTGAGAATTCTCCAAAACCTATCCCGATCCCAATTTCAAAGGCTTTGCACTCCTATCGCCTCTTAGGAGGATTGGTCCCTTCCTTTCCCTCAAGGTTAACTCACTCCCTTTACGGTGCCTCAGTGGGCTGCCCTCACGACGGGGTTTTCCGCTGGTCGCGCCGTTGAGGCGAAGGCAGTGCAGCATCCTCGCTACATATAAACCGCGTGAGAGAAGTCTAGTTTTGAGGCGCCTCAAAACTAGACTGAGGCGAAGGCAGTGAAGCATCCTCACCCTCAGGGGACACAGAGGCCAGCAGAAGGCCCAGTCGGTGAGCCTCCTTAGCCTCCTCCCTCAGGACTCCTCCCTTGAGCCTCCTCCCTCAGGACTCCTCCCTTGAGCCTCCTCCCTCATAACTCCTCCCTTGAGCCTCCTCCCTCATAACTCCTCCCTTGAGCCTCCTCCCTCATAACTCCTCCCTTGAGCCTCCTCCCTCATAACTCCTCCCTTGAGCCTCCTCCCTCATAACTCCTCCCTTGAGCCTCCTCCCTCGGTAGCATTCTCTCCTCCCTCGCCGTCCATCCTCTCCTCCTGACTAATCATTCCGAACCCTCACCCTGACCCCCAATCCAACAGGTCCTCGCAGCAGCATACCCCTACATGGCAAAGCGCCTCGTCACCAACCCAAACCCCTACCTGCGCGATACCCTTATCAATCTTCTCTTCAAAGACGGTGTTTTCCGCTGGTTGCGCCTCCAGAACCTCCTCACGCAGGGGGCAGCGCGACCGCGACTACAAGACAACCGACAGGGGCAGAGAGACCTCTGTTGCCTCCCTGCATTGTTCTTCCCTGATTTCGTGCCGCTGTTTTCCCCGTCTGTTTGTCCACTCCAACAGGTGCTCGCAGCAGCATACCCCTACATGGCAAAACGCCTCCTGACCGACCCAAACCCTTATCTAAGGGACGCTCTAATCGAACTCCTTTTCAAAGACGGGGTTTTCCGCTGGTCGCGCCTCGAGAACTTACTTGCCCAGGGGCAGAAAGACCGCGACTACAAGACAACCGACGCCCTCCAGCCCTTAATGGCCCTCATCCTAGGCCCTGAGGGAAAGCCGTTACGAACACTGGTGGTAGCTGAAGGGGTGAGGGTCGCAGAGGCGCTGCTGGTAGCAGGGGCTGTGGATGGGGCATTGGAAGTGTTACCAGATGCGGTTACCACCGCACTGCTTCCCCGGCCGCTGGTGCCGTTGCGGGAAGCACTAGAGGCGGCGAGAGGGGGAAGTGGGGGTGTGGGTGGGAGCGGGGGTGGGGGAGGGAGTGCGGGGGTGGGGAGGGGAGCGGGGAGGGGGGATGCGAGGGGGAGGAGTATGGAGGAAATGGTGGAGTTGAGGGCTCAGGTGCTGCGGTGCTGGGCTCTGCTGAGGAGTTCGGATGGGTTTGACCCGGCGAGCCTGCTTCCACTAGTTGATGTGAGTGGGGTGCTGTGCTGCTGTGTTGGATGAGTGATGTGATGGTGTGGGCATGAGTGGGAGAGGTAAAATCTGCTTGTGTGCGGCAAGATTCGTCCTCTGAAACATTCAGAACCCATCTCTACCGCTTGTCACCCCTCTGCTATCCCTCAGGTGCTGCAACAGGAGGAGGTGAGGGAGATGGGGTCAGATTTCGCTACAGGCTTGCTGCAAAGACTGGCAGATGTTTTGCTTGATTCAAACACCTTTCCAACCGCTTTTTACCCCTCTGTTATCCTTCAGGTGCTGCAACAGGAGGAGGTGAGGGAGATGGGGTCAGATTTCGCTACAGGCTTGCTGCAAAGACTGGCAGATGTTTTGCTTGATTCAAACACCTTTCCAACCGCTTTTTACCCCTCTGTTATCCCTCAGGTGCTGCAACAGGAGGAGGTGAGGGAGATGGGGTCAGATTTCGCTACAGGCTTGCTGCAAAGACTGGCAGATGTTTTGCTTGATTCAAACACCTTTCCAACCGCTTTTTACCCCTCTGTTATCCTTCAGGTGCTGCAACAGGAGGAGATGAGGGAGATGGGGTCAGATTTCGCTACAGGCTTGCTGCAAAGACTGGCAGATGTTTTGCTTGATTCAAACACCTTTCCAGCCGCTTTTTACCCCTCTGTTATCCCTCAGGTGCTGCAACAGGAGGAGGTGAGGGAGATGGGGTCAGATTTCGCTACAGGCTTGCTGCAAAGACTGGCAGCGCGGTCGCTACAGCTGCTGCTACAACCTCCGCCTTCCTCCCAGCCTGCAGCGCCCGCACCAGCTCTGTAGCTTTATCAACGAGCACCCACAGCCTGGTAGTGTGCTCGGCGCTCGCTAGATTTGCTATTAACGTACTACAGTAGCCAGCGCTGCAACTGCTTGCGACTTCTCCTAGCCTGAACTGCTTGTTCTCTTGGTGGGTTCTGTAAACTCGTTAGACAGATTGTTTGGAGCATATAAGCATGTAATTTGAGCTCCTTGAAAACTGTCATGTCTACACCAGGATCACCATGCTAGTGATCTGAGGGCGCGGCACTTATCATGTTCAAAACAGCTTTTTGAATGAGCTTTTCAAGAAATCACATTGGTTCGAGACGGTGCGTTTTGAACATTTACGAATGGCGCAGTGCGATGGACTTGAAATGTGGTCTAGAACAGCGTTTTGAACGACAATGTTCCGCACCCTAATGCAATCTGAAGACGAGTTTCCCTTTTGTTTCTTTGCAACTAGGTGTGGTGAAAACGATCCATACCGTGTGATGTGGTAAACGGTAGTATGAATGAAAAAATACATCTCCAAAAGGTCATCACAAGAAGGGTGTATCTACAATGTGACCAGTATAAGTCCTGCTGAGCTTCGTTATTAGCTGATGCAGCAGCAGACCCCTGCTGCGGAGCTCACTCACGCGCTGGTCGATCTGTACAGAACTGGTAGGCACAAGTTTACCCGGGAAAATCGCTGTTGCAGGCACATCAACCCCTTCATAAAAAGCTCCTGCTTGCTCGCGGCCTTCGCGTGGTATTCCTGGTCGCGGTATTCCACTGCAGGCGCGGCTCTTCTGAGGAAGGCTGAACCGCCATGCGCGATAACCACGCTTCGACGGAACCGTTCTGGAACTGCTTCCTCGCTGTCCTCTTCTTCCTCCTCCATATAATCTCTCTGCATCCTTTGCTCCTCGCTCTCCTCTCCCTCCTCGTACTCCTCTCCCTCCTCCATATCCGCTTCATCATTCAATACAGTCAGATAGTCTCTTTTCTCCTCTTCCTCCTCCATCGGCATATCCTCCTCTCCCATTTCCTCAACCTCCTCCTCTTCCTCCTCTTCCCACTCCCCGTCCACTTCTTCCTCTTCCTCCTCCTCGTCTACCGAAGCTGCGACTTGCAGCAGCTGCAGGTTCGGCATCCGAAGCAGCACCGCGTGCAGCAGCAGCAGAGCCTCGGGCCGTTGGTCCTGAACCTTCACCTTCAGCTCCTCCAGCTGCGGCCACCGCGCTGACGTAGCAGCGCCAGCGGATTGAAGCGCCCCCGACGCTACAGCCCAAGACACAACCAGCTGCCACGGCAGCGCGCCGAAGCTGAGCGCCTTCAGGTTCGGACACATAGCTGCGAGCCAGGTCAGGGAGAAGATGCTCGAGGTAAGGGCACCCAAACCGGCCGAGAAAAAGTCGAGTGACAGGGAGGTGAGTTCTGAGCCGTTGGATTGAACGAGCGTCTGCATCGCCGTCCAACAGAAAGACCCCGCTTTCAGATTGAGCGACGAGATTTTAGCCGACTCCGGGGCAGTGATCTCCAGCAGACTCGCGCTCGCGACTGCCACGTGGCGCAGATCCGAAGCGCCGTGGATCTGGACGGAGCGGATGAACATATCGCGGACGGAGAGCGAGCGGAGGGAGCGCGCGTTCGAAAGCGTGCACGACTCGGCGCGCATATACGCCAGCTCGACATGCTCCAGTGTGGCGGGCAGGCGAAGATTTATCCGCGGGCTGCCCGTGGCCATGAAAATTGAGAGGCGGCGGAGGTTAGGAGCCGCGTCGAGGATGGCCTGGAGGCTCTCATTGGACGCGTGAATCCATGAAAGCGACAGGTGCTCCAGGTGTCGCATGGGCGGAAGGCGAGCGGTGGGCGACGAGAGGAGCGACGACGACAGCGAGAGCGAACCCAGAGAGAGCGATCGCAGCGACGTGCAGTATTTCGCCACGTGGCGCAGATGCAAGCTGAGATCCTCATTCTCCCAAACGTTAACCGTTGTTGCGGCGTCTCCTGCGGCGTGCGACGCGGCGGCGCCCTGGAGAGCTCGGGAGAGGACGAGCGACTTGAGATGCGATCCAACGTGGCGCATCCACGCTTCGAAGATGAATTCGCGCGGGTGCTGCTGCTGGCGAGCGTCGCAGCCGCATCCGCAGCAGCAGTGGTGAGCGCATTTCCCGCCGCAAGACGTGTCGCCGCAGGACGGGCACACGGATTGCGGCGCAGCGAAGGCCGATGCCACGTGGAGATGCTCCAGCTCCTGCGATTTCAGAACCATCCGCGATACAAGCTCTTCGAGCTGGATGGCCGGCGAGTGGCGGAACGACGACGACGAATGGGAACGGGACACGTCCGCAGGGCCAAAGCAGAGGGCAGGGAGGAAGCGCGACAGGCTATGGAACCGGCGACAGGTTAGCGAGGTGGCTGCCACGTCGGACGCGCCGCTGCCGGTCCGGGAGAGGATATCGATAACAAGCTCGTCTGGAAGCATCGAGAAGGGGTCCTGTGAACAGCCGTGGGAATTATCCAAAGCGTCAGGCATTCTAGGCGATATCGCATCCGCGTTAACGCGACTAACTTCGGCCTGTTGGCACGAGAAAGCAAAGCTAGGAGACGCCATGAGACACAACTGTTTAACTTGATTCGGTCGATAGGCTAGATAGAGGTGGAAAGGCGTGATAGCTTAGCCTGAAAGTGGTCTGACTGGGGACTAGTTTCAACAAAACACTGAATTAAGAACTGCTTTTAATTGCCAGAGAAGCTTAGCAAGGCGGTAAGCAAGGGCGACACAACCGACAACAGCCACAACAAGCAACGTCAGATAACTGAGGGAACCCGGATAACCGAATGCGGAAAGGATGGTGACTCGTGATCAGAGGGAAGAGACGAAATACTGCCGATAGGGACTTGAAGGGGGACTGGAGTTATTTATCTATCCACAACTCAAGCGTGCTGGTTTGGATGGTTGGTACGAGTCGAGAGGATGATGGGGGACGGAGGGAGTTACTGTAGCAAGGGTTATGACGCAGATCGGTGGGAGAGGGAGGGCCACACAACCGCAACTCGCACTGGCGGCACGTGTTACCGCGCTGGCGTTCAAACTGCTGCGCTGGCAGCCTGATGGGGCTTCGAGAAGCCATGGTGTAGTTTGGGGCTGGCGGGAAAAATGTGGGTGGCGTGGGGAATTTGAATGCGAGGCATCCTCAATGACGAGGGGGCGTAGGGAGAGTGGTTGGTGGTGCGGCGCGGTGAGTGATGCCCAGCATACGGAACTGGCGCCAGAATAACACAGCGATCTGGCTGATACGAAAAAATCGAGATCGGGGCACAAGGGCACGGGTGGGCCATGTGCTTCCTTGCATCATTGATCCCTTGATGAAGTGCGGCACTGATGCAGTTGGCGCGAGGTCAACGGGTACCTATGGAAATGGAGGTCAGAACCAGGTATTTAGTACGTTTCATATCGGTCACCGCAAGCAAATTGCAGAATTAGGGCTTGTGGGTGAATCGACATCATTGGGAATCGCGTTAGTGAATGGTGGTTTGATGGTGTCTTGTGACTGCACTGTATCCTCCGCCATGCTGCCACTGTTTGTTGAGCGTGATGGAACCAGCATTGTTCACCACGCACGCCAAGAGGATATCACGTGACACGTGACGCCGTTGCTGCCAGTTGGCCATCCAAACTGCCAGCCAGCCGCCACAAGCGGCGACGAAATGCTGCAGTCGTCAACCTACTCGAAACAGACCCAAAAGGAGTGGTGTGGGTGTCGTCGTCAGAAAATGACACGCTGAGGTCAACGAAGCGGTAACGGGTAACTATAGATTCGCTAGCTTCTTCGTTCACCGAAGTTGTCTTGTTGCTTTGGTTGATTGCGGCGACGCTGGGAAGGATACCACATGGATCTACGACTGGCGAAACTCAAATCAATCATGACGGGCACCAGAAAGCTGGCCTGTGAGACAGGGCTGTAAATGTTTATTTACACAGAAGTGTCCAGTGGAGTCAGAATAACGACATGGCTGTAGTGAAATTACATTACAGTACCTAAAAACCGCCATCCCACGATTAAATTAAAATTTTAACGATGTCACAATCAGCTTGTTGGTTCCCGAGGTACACAGGCTGGGACAGCTGGGTCCCAAGTTTTTGCCATCAGATTTGGCAACCAGCCAATTTTAGGCTGGCAAGGCAAGCTTGTGGCGACTTCTCTGGCGACTGCGCTGGCGATTTCGTTTTCCTGAAGCGACCAAGCTCTTCCAGCACTTGCCTTCCGTGTTCATGAAGCTTCCAACTACTTGTAAAGCGGGGGAGGCGATGATCTGGATGATGCCCAGCCGTGAATCCAACACTACCGCGACCCTTGTAACAAACTACTGTAGTGTACACAAATGTGTTGTACTCTATAGTTTTCCAATGGCCACTTTAATGTGCCCCGGCATATGTTTTCACCCCTCAAGAATGGCAAAATTCCAGGAGATCCCTAAAAGGGAAACTTCGAACCATACCGTACCTGCACGAATTTCGCCATTCATGACCTGAAACTCTTCCCCTCTGCGAACGATAGGCAACTTGTGGGCGTTGGCTTGGCTGGGCAGGCGCAGGACTCTTCGGCACCAAAACATTCATCCCCTAGTCGTGGATCCCGTCCCCTATTGTTCCGTACAGCTGTAGAGCCGTGGGATGTGAACGGGCGGGCTTACCCAACCAAATTGCATCGTCTTGTTTACACCTTTTGCATGAATAAACCGATCAGAATGTAGAATATACCAGAGGGATGTCTGAAGTGCATCTTACATTTGTTAAAGCCTGCGGCCCAAAACATCGCAGCGATCGCACGTGACGAAGCGTCTCTTCAACAAAACCAGAATTCGTGGTGACATCACGCGCCGCATTTCTCCAATGCTGCATCGAAAGAAACAGACCAAAGTGGACCAGACAGGACGAGCAGCATTTTCAAGCGTCGTTGCAACCGCCACAAACCGCCGTGATTTCGCCGTGCGCTTGTGATGTGACCCATAGTGAACGCGTTCGCGCATTTCCAAATTGGCGACTGCATTTCCCATAGTGACGCCCCCTACATCGCCCCTGAATAAAATTGAGTTTTGGAATGAATACACCAGCCAGTCATTAGAGTTACGGTACGTGTATAGAATTTAGATTGATCTGCATATTTAGGTCACACCCCTGTTACCCAATGCATGAATAATAAAAAACTAGCCATTGGAAACTCCACTAGACACTCAATTTGTATACCCAGTAATATGCACAATAGAGTTCTGTACACCAGACCAAATGAATAGCCCCGCACTGCGTTTAAAGTGCAGCTCACACTTGATCTGTTTCCAGTTCATGTGTCAACGACACTTCTAAGTGGCGAGGTGAACAATCCACTATATAGTACACATCTCACTCGATTGCTGATGATGGACTGCTAACAAACCAACCATGAACCACATTAGCATTGCACGTACGCCCGGATAACTGCGAGAAATTCCCGGGCAGCAGCACTCCTGGCTGTTTTTTTGGCAGCCCCACATCCAACAAACTGTACAATCTGCCCGTCAACACGGACAGAAAGGACGGAGGTGTGCTGCGAAGAGCTCCCAAAAGAGTAGCTATCTGTCCACGTCACTTGGGAACACATAGCTACAGCCAACTCGTTTAATGCTTGTAGCGAGACGCCCTTAGAGTGGGCATCTGGTGCAAGAATTTGTGTCCAGCTGTAGCAATTGATACCTGAATAGCAAATGTACACAGAAAGGGGAGACGAGAACGGGGTTTTTTTAACCGCCTAACACGATCAAGAGGAAACATACAAACAAACTGCAGGAGCGAGGACAATTTAGTCTGACATTTATGACAACATTGGGGGCGCGTGGTTGACTTCTAAAGTGCCTACCAACCTTGATTATCTTTTTAGATATGATAGGAATGATAGGAATGAAAGGAATGATAGGTATGATAGGAATGATAGGAATGATAGGTATGATAGGAATGATAGGAATGATAGGAATGATAGGTATGATAGGAATGATAGGAATGATAGGTATGATAGGAATGATAGGAATGATAGGTATGATAGGAATGATAGGAATGATAGGAATGATAGGAATGATAGGTATGATAGGAATGATAGGAATGATAGGTATGATAGGAATGATAGGAATGATAGGAATGATAGGAATGATAGGTATGATAGGAATGATAGGAATGATAGGAATGATAGGAATGATAGGTATGATAGGAATGATAGGAATGATAGGTATGATAGGAATGATAGGAATGATAGGAATGATAGGAATGATAGGAATCATAGACATGATAGCATTGAAAACGCACCGGTTGCTGTGACGAGCCTTCTAAGTGTTGCCTGTGTGGCAGCCTGCCGAATTGGCATGGCTTGAGGACTGGCTGCTGCTTCTGGTGATGCTGGTGCTGCTGCTGCTGGTGCTGGTGCTGCTGTTGCTCGTGCTTGTGCTGCTAATAATGCTGCTGCTGCTGGTACTGCTGGTGCTTGTGCTGCTGCTCGTGCTTGTGCTGCTAATAATGCTGCTGCTGCTGGTACTGCTGGTGCTTGTGCTGCTCCTGCTGGTGCTCGTGCTGCTGCTGCTGCTGCTGCTGATGCTGGTTGTGTAATGCTGGTGGACAGGGCTTGAGGACAGGATGCCAATTGTGCTGATGCTGCTGGTAGCACTTGTGCTGACAGTGACGCTGGTGCTCGTGTTGCTGCTGCTGGTGGTAATGCTGCTGGTGCTGCTGCTGGTGCTGGTGCTGCTGGTGCTGGTGCTGCTGGTGCTGGTAGTGATGGTGATATGCCCTCTCTCCTCTGATCCCCCCACAAGTCCTCTACTCTCACACTCAGTCTCTCCCTCTTCTCCAAAACCTGAGCCTCCTGAGCCACACCACCATCTGCCGAACCTGGCCACATCAAGCCTGCACACCCGAGCTGTGCAAATTCTGAGCCTCGGGTTCCCGAACCTCCAGCAGTAACGGGATCAGCAGACTTAACAGGGGATTTTGAAGGGGAGATTGACGTAGGGTGGTAGGGCGAGGGAGGGTGCCGGGTGGAATGGGAGAGAGGGGGGGTGGGTGGGTCAAAGCGAGAAGCACTTGACACCACCGTCCAGTTTTGCTGCTGTTGCTGTTGCAATTGCTCCTGCTGCTGCCACTCACACCGCTGTTGCTGCTGTGGCTGCTCTTGCTGCTGTTGCTGTTGTACAATCACTGCTGCTGCTCTCTGTGCTGCTGCTGTCTGTGCTGCTGCTGCTGCCTGTGCTGCCACTGTGTGCACCTGCACTGCTGCTGCCCGGGGCAGTGCTACTGTGTGCAAACGATTTGCGGCTCGCACCTCTGCTGGTGCAGCTGCTGCCCGTGGTTCCGCTGCCCGTAGTTCCGCTGCCCGTAGTTCCGCTGCCCGTAGTTCCGCTGCCCGTGGTTCCGCTGCCCGTGGTTCCGCTGCCCGTAGTTCCGCTGCCCGTGGTTCCGCTGCCCGTGCTGCAGCTTGCACTTGCACTGTTAATTGCCCGTGGTTCCGTGCCCCAAGCTGGGCTAATTGCACCTGTGCTGGCGCTCTCCCTATCCCCGCCGTCACTGTCCCAACCGGTGCCAACATAGTACTTATCGGTGCTGATGCTTGGGCGCACTGCACAACTGGAGCTGATACTGATACTACCTGAGCTGGTGCTTTAAGCAGTGGCGATGGTGGTGCGTGTGTCACCACCGGAGCTGGTAGTGCTGTTCCTGCTGCTGCACCAGGTGCAGCTGCTGCCACTGCTGCTGCTGCAGCTGCGACTGGTGGTGGTGTTGCTGCTGCGCCCTGCTTCTGCTGTGATGCTGTATATCGCTGTTCACCTTGCTGCAGCTGTTGTTCTTGTTCCTGCCGCACCCCATGCCACTGGCGCTGTTGCTGCTGCTCCTGTTGCTTCGGCTGAAGTGAAACTGTTTGCTCTTGCCCCTTCAAAACCACCTTCTTTTTCAACTTCTTCTTGGTCTTTGTCTTCTGCTGCTGCCTCCTCTTCTCTGGATTCAACGTGCCGTTTTCCTGAAAGTCACAGCATAAGGCGTTAAAATAAGAGGTGAACCAAGCAGTCAGTCATGAGGAAATCAAGCAGTCATGAGGAAATCAAGCAGTCATGAGGAAATCAAGCAGTCATGAGGAAATCAAGCAGTCATGAGGAAATCAAGCAGTCATGAGGAAATCAAGCAGTCATGAGGAAATCAAGCAGTCATGAGGAAATCAAGCAGTCATGAGGAAATCAAGCAGTCATGAGGAAATCAAGCAGTCATGAGGAAATCAAGCAGTCATGAGGAAATCAAGCAGTCATGAGGAAATCAAGCAGTCATGAGGAAATCAAGCAGTCATGAGGAAATCAAGCAGTCATGAGGAAATCAAGCAGTCATGAGGAAATCAAGCAGTCATGAGGAAATCAAGCAGTCATGAGGAAATCAAGCAGTCATGAGGAAATCAAGCAGTCATGAGGAAATCAAGCAGTCATGAGGAAATCAAGCAGTCATGAGGAAATCAAGCAGTCATGAGGAAATCAAGCAGTCATGAGGAAATCAAGCAGTCATGAGGAAATCAAGCAGTCATGAGGAAATCAAGCAGTCATGAGGAAATCAAGCAGTCATGAGGAAATCAAGCAGTCATGAGGAAATCAAGCAGTCATGAGGAAATCAAGCAGTCATGAGGAAATCAAGCAGTCATGAGGAAATCAAGCAGTCATGAGGAAATCAAGCAGTCATGATGAACTCAAGCAGTCATGAGGAAATCAAGCAGTCATGAGGAAATCAAGCAGTCATGAGGAAATCAAGCAGTCATGATGAACTCAAGCAGTCATGATGAACTCATGGCAACTGAATCTACTAGCCACGACTGCTACAACCAACGACTGAGTGCCATTGTAACTGTTCTAGAATTTACAACCCCGACTCATCATCAGCCTCCTCATTTCGTCTAGGGCCAAACCAGCAGCAGCCTTCCTAAAATTGCTCTTGTGCTTTGAGTTGACTCACATTGACTTAATAGCAGACAATAGCAGACAACAGAGAGCAGTGAACCAATAGCCGACTCACCATCAGCTTCTAGGTTTCGTCAAGGGCCAACCCAGCAGCAGCCTTCCTAACCTTGCTCTTGTGCTTTGAGTTGACTCACATTGACTTAATAGAAGTCAATAGAAGATAACAGAGAGCAGTGCGCCAAAAGCTGACTCACCATCAGCTGCTTGATTTCATCAAGTGCTAGCTCAGCAGCAGCCTTTCTAGCCATGGTTTTGTGCTGTCTCACTGCTACTGCCACCTCCCTCCCTCCCACCACAGCCCTACACCTCCACCACTCCAACTCCCTCTGCCTCATCCACCCCTCTTCCTCCTCCTCCACCCACTCCTCATCTCCTTCCCCCTCTCCCCCCTCTCCTCCCAATTCTCCCTCCCCGTTCCCTTCCTTCTCTGCCTCTCCCTCTCCCTCCCTCCTCTTTCCTACCCATCCCACATCTCCCTCTTTTTTTTCTCCTGCCCCGGGTTTCTGGCATTTCTCAACCACCAGCTTCCCGCCCTGCCCCAGTTTCCCGGTCAGCTCGAAAAAGAGCGAGGTGGGCGGGCGGGTAACAACAGAGGCAGCAGTGACACGAGTGGGGAAGAAGCGGGAAAAGAGCGCCCACACCCTCTCGGTGTCAAACCCACAGTCGACCAGCGTTGCCCCCACAAGGGACTCTAGGACATCTCCTATGGCCTGGGTGGTATGTGGAAAAGCAGCGGGTCAGGAGGGGAGGGATGGAGTAAAGGGAATCAGCACAGAGCAGAGGCAGCAGTGACACGGGTGGGGAAGAAGCGGGAGAAGAGTGCCCACACCCTCTCGGTGTCAAACCCACAGTCGACCAGCGTTGCCCCCACAAGGGACTCTAGGACATCTCCTATGGCCTGGGTGGTATGTGGAAAAGCAGCGGGTCAGGAGGGGAGGGATGGAGTAAAGGGAATCAGCACAGAGCAGAGGCAGCAGTGACACGGGTGGGGAAGAAGCGGGAAAAGAGTGCCCACACCCTCTCGGTGTCAAACCCACAGTCGACTAGCGTTTCCCCCACTAGTGACTCCAGCACGTCTCCTATGGCCTGGGTGGTATGTGGAAAAGCAGCGGGTCAGGAGGGGAGGGATGGAGTAAAGGGAATCAGCACAGAGCAGAGGCAGCAGTGACACGGGTGGGGAAGAAGCGGGAAAAGAGTGCCCACACCCTCTCGGTGTCAAACCCACAGTCGACCAGCGTTGCCCCCACTAGTGACTCCAGCACGTCTCCTATGGCCTGGGTTTGGAGGAACAGGAAGGGGGGGGCAGAAGGAGAGAAGGACAAACTTGCCCCACACCCTCTACGTGTCAAAACCACAGTCGACCAGCGTTGCCCCCACCAGTGACTCCAGCACGTCTCCTATTGCCTGGGTGGTTGGGGGACGAAGGGTGGGGTGAGAAGGAGAGAGGGACAGTAGGGGTTGGAGGGAAGAAGCGGGAGAAGAGTGCCCACACCCTCCCTGTATCAAACCCACAGTCCACTAGAGTTGCCCCCTCCAGTGACTCGAGCACGTCTCCTATTGCCTGAGGGGTGCGTGGTGTGTGTGTGGCGGGTGGTGTGTGTGGTGTGGGGTTAAGATGAGAGGTAAGTGAGAGAACGTGGAAATGAAAGATGAGAACGTGGAAAGATGAGAACTGGGCAGTAGATGAAGATGAGGAACATCAGGAAAAAAATCGAGAATGGAGGGGAAACAACAGTTTGCGCAGTTCTCAAAAAGCCCAAATCAACCACAATGAATGCACTTCCCCAGCCACTCACCTTAGGCGCCTGCACTCCACCCTCCCCAAAGTATCCATCCAGCTTCTCCGTCCTCCCTTCCTCTTCCCCCTCGCCTTCCCCTTCCTCCTCCTCTCGCTGCTTCTCCCTCTCCTTTCTCTCTCCTCCCTCCTCGCCCATCTCCCCTTCTATCGCACTGCCAGCGAATCCCTTGTGAGACACCTCCATGCTTATCATCCCTGCTCGATTCACAACCCCTACAGCCCTTTGATCCGCAAGACCCCCCCTGCTTCCCACTGTCGCTACTGCTTCTGCTGCTCTCTTACTCTTCTGCCTCTCTCCTTCCCTGACCTCCTTCCCCCTCCTCCTCTCCCTCTCCCTCCTCTCTCGCTCCCTCCTCTCCTCTCTGTCTCTCACAAACGCTGCAATCTCCCCCCCCAGGTGGACCGAGAAGTGTCTGATGTGGCGGTGCAAGGCCAATCCCGAGCCCCCTGCTGACGTGGCAGCAACAGAAGAAACAGCTGACGTGGCGATGCGGGAGAGGTTCTCGTTATTGACGAGCGCGGCGCGGCGGAAAGTGAGCTGACGTGGCGTCTGGTGCGGGTGCTGCAGGTGCAGCTGACGTGTTACAAAGTAATCAATGAATGCGTCACCCAGAAATTCCAACCTCTGCAGTGTTCAGGTAAAGTGTTGAGATGAGGGAACAAAACAACAACTCACGTTCTAGCACATCCCACCAGCAATGTATATTCCTTGGTACTATACAACACCAGCAACAGTTATAAGCCAGGTAAGTAGACCACTAAAATTTGGTCAGTAAATGTTGACATGTACATGCGAGGTATGTATCATTTGACATTCCTCAATCCTCAGAAGCTCACCTGGTAACACATCACAACTTCGTCTGAAGCGAGTTTTGAGTCGACTCAAAACGAGTCGAGTTTTGAGGACCGACATCAAAATAAGACTTGCACGGTCCTCAGAAACTCACCTGGTAACACGTCACAACTTGAGTAGACTCAAAACTCGACTCATTACACGAAGCTCACCTGGTAACATGTCACAACTTCGTCAGAGGCCCAGTTGACGAAGCTGGGGTGGGTCAGTGCTTCCAGCACCAACCGCTTATCTTTGAACTCATACCCCAATGCCTCCTCTATCTCCCTCACTCCTGCCAACCCCTTCTCGCCCTCCTCTCCTCCTCCCTCCTCTCCCCCCTGCTCTCCTTCCTCCGTGCCTTCCTGCTCTCCTCCCCCCTCCGTACCTCCCTCCCCCATCACCTCATCTTCACTCAGCCTCTTCAAACCGTCACCTATCCCAACTCCTGATTTCCCCCTTACACCCTTCCCCACACCCCCTCCCCCGTTCTCTTCCACACCTTCCTTCTCGGCCCCACACTCGCCCCCACTCCCTCCAAGACATTGACTCGTCCCTCCACACACCCTTCCACCCCCTTTCCCATCCTCTCTCCCACCCTCTTCTCCACCCACATCCTCCCCCTCAAACCCAGATAGCCCCATGGGAAGGCCCAACCACGCCATGACACGTGTAGCAGCAGCAGCCCCACACGTGTCCCACACACACCCCACTAGCGCCTCCACCAAATCAGCTAAAGCCTTCCCAGACACGCGCACAAGAGGAGGGGATAGCACCACCAAGGGACGTTGAGGCGCGTTCAGTCCTGTCATGCAGTTGCTTTTTTCCAACTTGCTCCTTCCACCGCTCTCAACACCTTCACCTTCAGCAATGCAGACCTGCTCCACTTCATCAGCACTGCTTCCAAAGACTTCTCCCTTCTCCCTTTCTCCTTCTTCCTCTTCTTCTTCCTCTTCTTCTTCTTCCTCTTCTTCTTCCTCTTCTTCTTCTTCCTCTTCTTCTTCTTCCTCTTCTTCTTCTTCCTCTTCTTCTTCTTCCTCTTCCTCACCTGCTTTGACCTCCTCTTCCTCCTCCCCTTCCTCTTCATTTATTTCCTCTTCCTCACACCCCTCTTCTGTGCCCTCCCCTTCCTCTTCATCCAAACCCTCTTCCTCACTCCCCTCCTCTATATCCTCCCCTCTGTCCAATTCAAATTCTTCATCTTCTTCTCCCACCTCCCCTTCCTCCTCTTCTTCCTCCTCGTCATCCATTCCCTCCTCCTTTTCCTTCTCTCCTTCCTCATCCACTTCCTCTCCTTCCCCAGCACCACTACCCACTTCATCCCCCACCTTCTCCTCCTCGTCTGCTCTATTCCTCCCCTCAACCCCCCCTTTCTCGCCTTCCCTTGCCTCCTGCTCCATCCCTGACGCCACACACTTTGTCTGCTTCTTCTTTCTCCTCCTCCTGTCCAACGCCTGCTGCTGCTGCACCTTCGACCGCCTCTCTCTCATTTGCTGCTTCAACTGAGCATGCCCGCATCGGTAGTCACAAGGGGCAACGCCAGGCACGTACCACTTTCCTGCTGTGAATATCCCCGTCCGCAGATACTCCTGAGGGAGGGACAGTGAGATAAAGGGAAATCAGAACATTAGGAGATGAGTTCGTCATTTGCTGCTTCAGCCGCGCTAGTCACAAGGGGCAACACCTGGCGGCACGGCACCTGCCACTTGCCAGCCGTGAATATTCTATTGCGCAGATACTCCTGCAGAACGGGCAGTAAGAGTGAGGTAGAGGAGAGGTGTGCGTTAGAAAACAGAGCTCACATGCACGTGCATCTTCAGTTCCAATAGACCCACTAGACTCAACCGCTAGTTCTGCTAAGATATCTCCCTACTCACATGCAGCTTCATCTCTCTGGCAGTTGAGAGCAGCGCCTCATTGCTGATCGCAACGGTGCGCCGCTGCGTAAACACGCCCTCATGCACGTGCACTGCACCCACTAGCCCACTAGACCTAGACCCACTCAGCAGTTCTGCTAAGATATCTCCCTACTCACATGCAGCTTCATCTCTCTGGCAGTCGAGAGCAGCGCCTCATTGCTGATCGCATCCGTACGTCGCTGAGTCAGCACACCCTCATGCGCGCCGGGCAGCTCGCGAAACAGATGCGAGCTGACCGCCGCCTTAAGAAAACAATCCCCCAGCAGCTCGTCCCTCTCATATGAGAATCCCTCCCCTGTGGAGTATGCCGTTATTGCGTGCAAGAGCTGAGAGGGATTTGGTTAAGAAGAGGGAGGAAGAACGGGAATGAATACAGTGAAACAGCAAGGCAGTCCCCCAGCAGCTCGTCCCTCTCGTAGGAGAAACCCTGCATGCCATAACAGCCTACTCGGGCGAGGGTTTCTCCTACGAGAGGGCAATCTTCCAGCAGCTCGACCTTCTCGTAGGAGAAACCCTCGCCCGTGGCGTAGGCTGTTATGACGTGCAAGAGCTCCAGGGGGTGGGGAGACGAGAAGGAAAGAAGAGAAGTTGCAGGCAGGGGAGAGGCGCAACAGAGGGGGGTCACACAGTCCCTCTAAACCACACTCACCCTGGCAACCGGAAGGTTGGACAGCATCCCTTCCATCTGAGCCTCCCGCCCCATCCTGTCCCTCAACTCCCCTGCCAGCAGCAGTCCATGCAGGCGGTGCAGCACAGAGGGCAGCAGCGAGGCGGCCTGGTAAAGCGGGAAGGACATGAGTGGATGGAGCAGCTCGGGGGGGAGCAGCACAGAGAAAGGGCGCAAGGAGGAGGGGGAGGAGGATGTAGGTGGGGTCTTGGAGGCTGCAGGAGTGATAGTGAGAGGGTGCGCGGGGGAGGGGGGGGAGAGGAAGGGGGGGAGTGGAATTGGGAGGGAGGAGAGGAGTATTAGGGTGAGCACAAGAAGATGTGGTGAAGGAAGAGCACAGAGGGAAGCAATGAGGGCAGCAGCGAGGCGGCTCGGAGAGGGGTGGAGGGGTGCTTTTGATGGCTAGCAAGAAATTAGGAAGGAGGAAAGAGCGAGAAAGAGTGCGGGGAATAAAGCAAGATTTTCAAAACAAATAAGGCTTGCCATGTGTCACAGAGTTACAGATCTCCCCACTGCCTCCCCACTCGATTACCACCATTGCCTCACCTTTAGGCATGTCGTTCGGCGAGGGAGGCTTGAGGCAGGCCTTGGCAGAGGGAAGCGAGCGCATGAGCAGCAGAGGGAGGTGGGGGCACACCAGCCGCACACCATGCCTGGTAGGGGACAAGGTTTTAGAACAGAGGGCTTTGAGGGTTAAGGTCACATCAGCCGCCCGCAATGTGCTTGCTTGCATGAGCAGCAGAGGAAGGTGAGGGCACACCAGCCGCACACCGTGCCTGGAAAGGATAAGAGAAGCAGAGATCAAGATTAAAACGCGCTTGCATGAACAGCAGACGCAGGTGGGTGGGGAGGAGGCTCACATCAGTCCTTAAGGAGACAATGTTGAAAGTAAGGAACAATCATTATGTCGAAATCATCTTGAAGCTAAGCCTGTTCTCCACTCACTCACTCACTCATTCACTCACTCACTCACGCACACACTCACTCACTCTCTCACTCACTCACTCACTCACTCACTCAATCACTCACACGCACACACCCAGCCTACCTCTCTCTGAAGTACTCCTCAAACGTGGCATAGCCTTCATTAGGGAAGGGACTCAGAGCTGTCAACACGCCCTCTCCTCCACCCTCCCCCTCCCCTTCCCTCTCCCCACTCTTCATCTTCTTCTTCTCCCCGTCATCCTTCCCTCTCTCCCTCAACCCCGTCTCCCTTCGCTCTGCCTCCTCCAATCCCCTCTTCCCCCGCCCAGCCTCCCCCTTCCCAGCCTCCCCACGGGACACACGGTACAGCCACCCAGTGTGCCTCGCCACAACCACACACCCTCGCATCCGCTCCAGTGCTGCTAGTTGCGCATCCAGACTTAGCCTCTGCATGTGTCCCCCCAGCACTCTCAGCTGCAGCTGCTGCTGCTGCTGCTGCTGGTGCTGCTGCTGCTCACAGTGCAATCCGCCATGCCCCTGCTCGCCTCTAGCTTCTCTGTCTCGTCCCTTTTGCTTGACCTGCTCGTCTCCTCCTCGTCCCTTTTGCTTGACCTGCTCGTCTCCTCCTCGTCCCTTTTGCTTGACCTGCTCGTCTCCTCCTCGTCCCCCTTGTTCTTTTGTTCCTTGCTGTAATTGCCTCTCCTCCTCTCCCCCTTCCCCCTCCTCCCCAGCTCTCTCCTCCTCGCTCATACTTCCCTCTAATGTCACCTCCTCCCCTTCCCCCTCCTCTCGCACTCTCTCCTTTTCCATTTTCCCTCCTTCTTCCACCCTCTCCTCCCCAACCCTCGTCGCCTCTCCCGGCCCGTCCCCCCTCTCTGTGGCACCCACCAGCCACAAGGAAGCATCAGCAACAGACATCACAACAGCCCAGTCGATCGCTGCACACCAGACCTCCTTCCACTCCTTCCACTCCTCCCCTTCGCACCTTCCTCTTCCTTCCTCCTTTAATTTCTCCTCCTTGCCCCTTCCGCTTCCCTTTTCCTTTGACTCCTTCCCCCCTTGTTGAAGTCCTCCAGACACATCCATATTCGTCTCTGCCTCTCCCCACAGCTTCCTCTTTTTTTCCTCTGGCCCAGTACGGTCCGCTTCACTTGAGTCAATGTCACCACAAACAGCACCAGCGGTATCAACACCAGCACCAGCGGCAGCGGCCGTGCCAACAGCAGCGGCACCAGCAGTCTGAGCGGCGGCAGCAGCAGCAGCAGCAGCAGCAGCAGCAATGCCAGCAGCAGCAGCTCCACCCTGGCAGGGACTGCCCATAGACAACGGTTGAGCCACCGGAGCAACTATATAATGCAACGGGCCTCTCCAAAACGGGGATGGCTGGCACTGGCCAGATTCGTCAGGAGAAGGGCCTTGGGCTTGTAGCGTGTTGGGAGTGGGTGGGGCTTGGCAGCAGCGGCGGCAGCGACGCAGTAGAGTGGCGAAGAGATGCGCGTGAAAGGACATGAGCAGACGAGCCTGCGAGGAAGGGGAGCAGGTGCGGGTAGTGGGGAGGGCGGGAACAGGGGAAGAGCGATGGGGGAAGGTATGTGGAAGAGATGCGCGTGAAAGGACATGAGCAGATGAGCCTGCGAGGGCAATGGACGGTGCGTGGGCATGGCGAGTGGGATGGAAGAGCACGGGGAGACGGGATTCAATGAAAAGCATGCATACCGTCTCAAGCCAAATGCATGTCTGTACCTGACTGACGGTCCCTTACCAGACTAGCATCAGTACCTGATGGACAGGTCCCTCACCTGGCAGACAGGTCCGTACCTGACTGGCAGAGAGCATCACACGGCCCATGGGAGCTAGCTGCACTGTAGCATGCCCCACTCCCTTCGGGAAAAGTCCGAACATTGCCGCCCCACACTCGCTACCAAGTTCCCCCGCGCACAAGAGGAGAAACTGGAAGGTCTCTCGTGGCAGTTCCTCTTCTTCCTCCTCAGCTGCCCCTCTGCTTCCCTCACGCTCCTTACAGTCACGTTCAAGGCCATCCTCCTTATTGTCACTCCCTCGAGCGTCCTTGCCATCACGCTTTCCTCCGCCTCCATCTACCTTCCTGCCCATGCCGATGCCAACACGATACACAAAATACGCCCGCCTCCCCCTCTCGCCCTCCTCCGCGCCCTCCCCTTGCTGCTCCCCGTCACCCGCCCCCTCCCATGGGAGGCGCAGGGCAGAGGGGATTCGCTGATGCACGTGCATGGCAACCCGGCGAGCTGACGGGGGGGAAGAAATGGGGATGGGGGGATGATGGGGGGAGGAAATGGGGGGGATGATGGGGGGGATGGAGGGGAGACGGGGATTGGGAAGCGCAGGGCAGAGGATATTCGCTGGTGCACGTGCAAGGCAACGGGGAGAGCTGATGAATATGAAGAAGATGCGGGACGGAGGACAAGGGATTAGTGGGAAGAGTGAGAGGGCGAGGGTAAGGGATGCTTGGAGGTGGGGTGGGGGAGGGGGTGGGGGTGGAAGGGCGAGGAGGAGGAAAAATGGGTATACACTTCTGCAAGACATGCTCACCTACCTACCCACCACTCCCACATGCCATGCAAGACCCCACCATTCCCACATGCCATGCATGCCCGGTTGGTATTGAACCGTAGTATAATCTAACATGCCCCACCTCTCTCAGGCACCACAGTGGCACCAAACTTGCTCCGCCTCTTCTTCCCCCACCGGATCGGCAGCAGCCGCTCACTCAGCCGCCCAGAATCCAGTAGAATCTTCACTGCCAGCAGGCACACGGCCCGCCGGGCGGCGATTTTCGACCGGCATGGCGGGCCGTGGATGGCAGGGACGCCAGCAGTGGCTGGCAGGCGGAGTGTGACTGTAAAGGGGGGTGATTGAGGGTCGATGGGAGAAGCAGCGGCGGCAGTGGCGGCAGCATTGGTGCTTGAAACGGTGGGGGAGGAAGAGATGGAGAAGAATGGCTGGAGCACTCCACTCCTGTGTGGTGTAATGTGATGATGATGATGATGATGGTGGGAACGGGAAGGGAGCAGAAGGGGGAAGTGTACGGTTGAGAAATATTAGTGGGGGGAAGTAGCATGAGGGATGGGAGGAGACAGAGAAGATTGGTTGCAGCATACCACTCCTGCGTGGTGTGATGAGGTGATGGTGGGCACGGAAAGGGGAAAAGAAAGGGGTATGGTTGATTGAAACTAAGTAGTGATACACTGTTGATGGGCACTTGGTGATTGCGGGGAGGGATTGGGAGGGGGCGGAGGGGGGGACGGGAAGGGGATGTGGAGGGGGGGGGGGGGAAGGGAGGTGAAAACGTGGGATGGAAAAAAAAAAAAACCAACAGAAGCCTTTCAAAAGGCAAGGGGCGGCAGCACACCCTTTGAATTGACTCAAAGCTACGCACCCGTCATTAGCCCCCAGGGTGTTGCAGAACTGATAGACAAGCGCCACACTCCCTTGCCTCGTCACCATCGCCCCTGTACTTGGCACCACCAGCACCCTGCTGCCGCCCCTCACCCCCCACCTACTCTCCACCTTCCCTTCCCCACTCACACCCTCTCCTCCCAAACCACCTTCCCTCCTTGCTCTCACTTTATCCTCCTCCCCTCTTTCCTCTGCCCCCGGTTCCAGGTTCACCCTCCCATCCCAATCCACATCCATCCCTTCCCCTTCTCCTCCCTCCTCCGTTTCATCGTCCCAGAACGACCCTCCCAGACCTCTATCTCCTTCTCTCCCCCCTCCGTTCTGGTTCTCGTTCTGATTCTGGGTGTTGCGCTGTTGCTGCACCGTGGCCTGCATGGTGCCCTCATTGCGCATGAACTTGGCTAAATCCTCCTCGTACTTGCCATCGCCCCTGCTCAGGAAGAGCGAGCAGGCAGGAAAGATCAGGTTGTGTGAGGTCTGTGCAAGGGGAGATCTTTTAAGAGGGGCTTCCTCTAGGCGTTGCGCTGCTGCTGCACTGTGGCTTGCATGGTGCCTTCATTGCGCATGAACTTGGCTAAATCCTCCTCGTACTTGCCATCGCCCCTGCTCAGGAAGAGCGAGCAGGCAGGAAAGATCAGGTTGTGTGAGGTCTGTGCAAGGGGAGATCTTTTAAGAGGGGCTTCCTCTAGGCGTTGCGCTGCTGCTGCACTGTGGCTTGCATGGTGCCTTCATTGCGCATGAACTTGGCTAAATCCTCCTCGTACTTGCCATCGCCCCTGCTCAGGAAGAGCGAGCAGGCAGGAAAGATCAGGTTGTGTGAGGTCTGTGCAAGGGGAGATCTTTTAAGAGGGGCTTCCTCTAGGCGTTGCGCTGCTGCTGCACCGTGGCTTGCATAGTGCCTTCATTGCGCATGAACCTGGCCAAATCCTCCTCGTACTTGCTATCGCCAACCCACTGCAATGCAACCCACACACACACCGTTGCACAAGCACCCGGAATACGCTCCTGGTTTCGGCGCCCTGCCGCGGGACTGCAGCATGGAGCGCAGGGTGAGAATGGGGCAATCCAATCAAACCCACCCACCCTTACCCACCATACCTCACCCCAACTCACCATTGCACAAGCACCCGAAAATGTGCTCCGGGTTTCCTCGCCCTCCCACGGGACTGCAGCATGGAGCGCATGGTGAGAATGCGGTCGAACATACCTCAAGCGCCTCACATACCAAACCTCACCACCGTGAGTGAGTTATTCTAATGAAACCCACCGTTGCACAAGCACTCTGAAGTGTGCGCCTGGTTTCCGCGCCCTTCCCCGGGACTGCAGCATGGAGCGCACGGTGAGAATGCGGTCGAATCGAATCACCGTGTGGCATGCCGGTATGTCCATGCCCTCCTCTGCTGCACTCGAAGCCACCAGCACGTTCAGCTGCAGGGAGGTGAGGCAAGGTGCGAGAGAGAGGTAGAGGGAGAGAGTGAGGTAGCAGAGGGAAGCAGTGTTGAAAATGCAGTTGAGTCGGATCACCGTTTGGAATGGTGGTAATGTCCATGCCCTCCCAACTTCCTCTCTCCCCCTCTCTCCCCCTCCCCTTCCCCTCTCTCTCCCCCACCCACCCTCTCACCTTTCCCGCACGAAAGCGTGAAATTGCAGAATCTGGCCGGGAGTGCTTAGCTGTCCCGCCTTGATTGGTCGAGATCCCGATCTTGGCAGCCCCAGCACCAACCAGGAAATCCGCTCTCAACGAGCCAGCAACCGAGGGCAGCAGGCGGAGGAGTCGAGAGAGGCTGTGTGCGGTGACAATGCGCTCCACGAAAATGACAATGGTGGGGGACGGCTGGGTGGCGTAGAGGCGGAGGAGGGAGAGGAGGTGGGCGATTTTGGGAGTGATGAGAGCAGAGGGGTGCGATGCCAGGGCGAGGGTGGCTTCTAATCCGTCCGGGCCGGGTGCCTTGGCCTCTGAATACAGAGAAGTAGCAGGAGAACAGGATGGAGGAGGGGAAGGGGGGACCAAGGGGAGACGGACGGGACAGAGAGGGGGAGCAGGAGAAGAGGTGGGCGAGTTTGGGCGTGGGGAGAGCTGAGGGGTGCGATGCCAGGGCGAGGGTGGCTTCTAGTCCGCCTGGGCCTGGTGCATTGGCCTCTGGGTTAACATTGCCGGGAGGAACAAAGGGGGACAAAAGAACAGGAGAGTGGGAGAGAAGGTGGGCGAGTTTGAAAGTGAGGAGTGCAGAGGGGTGGGATGCGATGCGAGGGAGATGGAAGCATCCGCCAGGGCTTGGTGCCTTGGCCTCTGGAATAAGCAGGATGGTAGGAAGAGGAGGTAGCCACGTTTGGGAACGATTAGAGCATGTGATGCGAAGGAAAAGGTGGATTCTGGTTCACCAGGGCTTGGTGCCTTGGCCTCTGGATACATAACGAGGAAGTGACCCAACCAAGGGGAGGGGGATGGGATGGGGAGGGACGAGAGAGAGAAGAGGTGAGCGAGTTTGAGGTAACTGGGTGAGGAGGAGGAGGTAACTGGGTACGGGAGACCTGACAACAGTAACCAGTAACCCGCCACTGCAAATTCTCACCAGGAGGTAATCCACATTTCAGAAATGCCTCGCAGCGATTGATGAACTCTAATCGGACGGCTGCAAACGCGTCTCTCAGGCGGGCGTTCTCCTCGTGCTGGTCCATGGTCCCACTGGCTGCTTGTGAGCGCAGTGAGTGCAGCGCCTGCATGTGTACAGGGTGAAGTGGTGTGGCCCAGCGGGGGTGGGAGGAGAACTTGGTGGGGGGTGTAATGAGAGAGCTGTGTAGCGGGCCTTCTCCTCGTGGACCAGCATGGATCTCCCCATGCTCATCCATGGCTCTGCTTGTTGCTTGCGAGCATATGGGCTGCAGCGCCTGGAATGTAGAGAGGGTGAGGTGCATAGTTGCAGTGTGGCGGCCAGTGAGGCAGTCAGTGAAGCATCAGCCGACGACACCAATGTGATTAGGAATGCTGTCACTGTGAACAGCAAAGTTGGGCAGTAAGTCTCTAATGAACGCAATCGCAACAAAAGGGTGTCATAGCAGCAAGAAGAAGGCCCAGCCAGAAATGTGTGGTACTTACCTGACACCAGTGAGACGGTCATACGATCGTATCATGCTGAAACTTGAAAGGCCGTACCAGGAATGCGGGATAGCGGCCAAGGTCAGTAGACACCAGTCGAGGGCTCCTGCAAAGTACTTGACTCGCTTCACCATTCTCCGCCTCACCTCCCTGTATGCAGCCGTCCGTCGCTGGGTTGCTTGAAGGTGAACTGAAAGGTGCGCCATACTTGATACCACTGAGACGGTCATACAGTCGTACCAGGAATGCGGGGTAGCGACCAAGGTCGGTAAGACACCAGCCGAGGGCTCCTGCAAAGTACTTGACTCGCTTCACCATCCGCCGCCGCACCTCCCCATATGCTGCAGTCCACCTCTGCTGGTGGTTGGGTTGGTGATCGCCTTGGTGCCCACCCCTCCCCTGCCCTTGCTCTCTCCCCTCTTCCACTCCCCCCTCGCTCCCCCCCTCCTGCCCCATCCCTCCACTCTCGTTCACCACCCTCCTCCCCTCCTCCTCTATCCATCGCACCATCCCCTCCCTCTCCTGCTCCACCCTCTCCCGCAGCTGCAGCAGCACCTGCGCCTGCTTCCCATCAGGGGGGTCGTAGTGGGACTGGATGGTCTGCGCGCTGGGTAGCACCTCCACCAGACATGACCTGTCTAAAACCGTGTAAAGCTGGGGGGAAAAGGGAAGGAAATGGGGGAATGGCAGGACTGAATGGTCTGCGCGCTGGGTAGCACCTCCACCAGACACGACCTGTCCAGAACTGTGTACAGCTGGGGGATAGAGAGAAAGGCAACGTGGGAAAGGAGGTCGTAGTGGGACTAGATGGACTGCGCGCTAGGTACCACCTCCACCAGACACGACCTGTCCAGCACCGTGCATAACTGGGGAAGAGAGTGGGGGGGGGAAGGGGGGAGGAAGCGATGAGTGGGACTGGATAATCTGCGCGCTGGGTAGCACCTCCACCAGACACGACCTGTCCAGAACCGTGTACAGCTGGGGGGAAAAGTGCAGGCAATGGAAGACAGGAGGAGGGAGAAGGGAGAGGGGAAAAAGCAGAGCAGATGACCATTCCACTGGGTAGCAGCACCTCCAGCAGATATGACCTGCTCTTGAGACGTCTTAAAAGTATGACCTGCTTTTGAATCATCAATCAAGCACCACACCTTTGAGACGATAACACGCTCAAAGTCCAGGAGCTGCCACATGCACGCACGGCTCCTCCTCCGACCCGAGTGTTGCCATCACACACCTTCAGATCACCAGAACTCACACCTTCAAACCCACCAAGTCCCATACCTCGGAACCAAGCACCACACCTTTGAATCCAGAATCCTCTCAAACTCAAGCAGCTGTTGCACGCACGACTCCTCCGACCCGCTGCCCTTGGTGTTGATGGGCGACGCTGTCATGCCGAATATGAGCGGCCTCTCGCTCTGCCTCAGGGAGAAGTACCACGTCTGGTTGAATAAAGGGGTGGTGAGGGATAGAAAAGGGTTGGGCGGGATTCAGTTACTTGCAACCCTCTTCTGACTCGCTGCCCTTGGTGTTGATGGGCGACCCTGTCATGCCAAATATGAGCGGCCGTTCCTTCTGCTTCAGGGAGAAGTACCACGTCTGCTCGAATGAAGGGGTGGTGAGGGATAGAAAAGGGTTGGGCGGGATTCAAATGCTGTCCTTCTCCGTCCGACCCGCTGCCCTTGGTGTTGATGGGCGACGCTGTCATGCCAAATATGAGCGGCCGCTCGCTCTGCCTCAGGGAGAAGTACCACGTCTGCTCGAATGAAGGGGTGGTGAGGGATAGAAAAGGGTTGGGCGGGATTCAAATGCTGCCCTTCTCCGTCTCGCTCTGCCTCAGGGAGTAGTATCACGTCTGCTCTCGGATAGAGTCACGGGCATGGAATGGGAAGGGCTTGGGCACGATTCAGTTGCTGCTGGTCACATCCGATTTCAAAGCAATAATGCTGTCATGCTGAAAATGAGTGGCCGGTCTCCCTGCCTCAGGCGGGGATGGGAAAGATGTTATTGCTGCATGGACCTTTCCTTGCAAAGTTGAAAGGTCCTTTCATGCGTGCTGCAGCAGGTCCTTTCCTTTCCTTGCTGGTGTGCAAAGTTGAAAAAAGTTGACTGTGGTAAGGGCATGGGAAGGATGTGCGTCTGACACTGCTTTGCACTTCCCTGTAGGGTTTCACTTCACCTTCAATATAGTGGCATAGTGATGGTCCTTGGTGGTATGATCACACTCAATTAAGTTCAAACAGGAAACTGAAGACAGGCCCAATCCAACTCATCTAAACCCGGAATATCACCTTCATTATAGTGGCGTAGGCATGGTCCTTGGCGGTGTGATGGCACTCGTCGAATATAAGGAGGTCCACTGAAGAGAGCGACAGGAAGGCGTGCTGCAGGAGGTTCACGAGCACCTGAGGCGTCATCACCAGTACCTGGAAGGAAGGGGAGGAGGGGAAGGGGCAGAGGCAGCAGCACAAGGGAGGCAAGGAAGGCAGGGGAATAAGAATGTATGGCATGGGGAGGCAGGAAGGCGTGGTGCAAGAGGTTCACGAGCACTTGAGGCGTCATCACCAGCACCTGGAGAGGTGAAAAGGGGGGAGTGGGGGGGGGCAGGGAAAACAGCAAAACAAGACAAGGACGTTCAAGGGGGGACGAGTGTATTGGGAGAGATAGGAAGGCGTGCTGCAGTAGGTTCACGAGCACTTGAGGCGTCATCACCAGCACCTGGTTTGGGGGGGGGGGGGTGAGGCAAGTCGGGCAGGGGACAGAGTATGGCATGGGGATAGAGGAAGGCGTGCTGCAGGAGGCTCACGAGCACCTGAGGCGTCATCACCAGTACCTGAGGCGTCATCACCAGCACCTGGAGAGGTAAGGGGGGCGGGCGGCAGAGAAAACAGCAAAATCTGACAAAGGCGTTCAGGGGGGCGAGTGGGCATGGGGAGACAGGAAGGCATGCTGCAGGAGGCTCACCAGCACCTGGAGAGCAGCAGAGGAAGAACCATGGACAAGGGGGTAGGTAGGGACGGCCAAGAGGGGAACAGGAATGTGTGTTGCAGCTTGAATACCTAAATATCTAAACCCTGTATATCCTAAAACGCACGCACCTCATGCCTGGGGACCTGCTGCTGCACCCACGTGGCCTCGTATTTGATTTCTGTGTCTGTGCTGTACTGCCCCACCTGCATGTCCGTCACCATAACAGTGAGCTAACCTGAGCAGCTGAGTTTGCATGTGCTACAACAAGTACGCACCTCATGCTTGGAGACCTGCTTCTGCACCCATGTGGCCTCGTATTTGATCTCTGTGTCTGTGCTGTACCTCCCCACCCGCATGTCCGTCTGCTGCTCCACCACCGTCGCTTGCTGCATTTAAGGGGATCAAAAAAAGGGGAAAATTGCACAAAACTAAGGTATGTCGCACGTACTAGCAAAAATCCACACACGAATGGAATCCATATCAAAGACACCAGCTAAAGCAGGAACTTACTCATGCTTGCATCTGCACATTTTCCCAACCATCAGCAACTCTCACTCGCTCTCCCTGAACCAACCTGAATCACGAGAGCAACTGCTGGCACCAGAAAGACACAGATCTTGCCACTTTTCTCCCGAATCTGACAGCGAGCCTGCATAAGGGCATGAAGAAGGAAGGGAATGGTACGACAGTCAGGACTCAGAAGTAAGATTGTTTAAGTCGATGACCCAATACCCAGTGCAATGACAATGTTATTCTCAGTCAATCAATGAGCCAGACTCGTTTCAAACAGTTGAATGTAATCTAATTCAGTCAATCTCAGTCTAATCCAGTCAAAGTACCCAGATTCCTCACATGTGATTCATATTCCCGCAATACTGTCCAATTCAGTCAATGACAATGATAATGCCAATCAATGACAATGGCAATACCCAATGACGTTATAAAATAATGTCAGTGTCAGTCAATGCCAATCTCTTTGAGTCAATTTCCTCCTATCTAGCTCAGTCAATGTATTCCTGATTCTGTAGATTTATCAACTTACAATCACCTGCATGAGCACAAGGCGATTAAAGTCCTCCCCGTGCCTGTCTGTCCCTCTCCATGCAACAATAGAACGCGTTACAAGACATCTACATTCAAGTTACAATCACCTGCATGAGCATGACGGCGATTAGCGTCTTCCCCATGCCTGTCTCCAGGTAGACGATAGTGTTGCGCTCCAGAGCCACCTGAAGAACCTCCTGCTGGTACCTGCAGAACGAAGCGTAGTAGTAGGTGGTAACGGAATCAACTGTCTAAAAAATAAACGATAGTATTGCGCTGCAGAGCCACCTGTAGAACCTCCTGCTGATACCTGCAGCAGAACGGACGAAAGCAGCAGGTGACAACTCCTTAAAGCCCAAAAAAAAAAAAAAAAAAAAAAAAAAAAAAAGCAGGTGACAACAGAGAAAGTGAGTTAGGGAAGAGTAGCCGGTGACAACAATCTTCTGAGTCGTCTCAAAAGTAGACGATAGCGTTGCGCTGCAGAGCCACCCTGAAGGACACCCTGCTGATACCAGTAGAGCGAAGCAGAGGGTGACAACGCAGGAAGTGGGTGAGCGAAGGGGTACCGTCCCCTTGAGTTAAACGACTTTTGAGTTCATTCAGCAGTCCTATCGATGATGAATAGTTAAAATATCGCTTTAAGCGGGAAGTGAGTAGAGTCGCGAGAGAGATCAACGAATCGGAAATGGCATGAGACGTCAAGAAAAGGATAACAGGATTCTGGGGAAGAACTTTCTAGAGTCGTCACAAGAGAAGTGTCACCCACTGTCGCAGCTGCAAAATAATCTTCTTCTTTTTCTTCGTGCTCGCGATTTCCCGTCCATTAGTCCTCCTCCCCGTCCGCTTCATGCTCTTTCCAGAGTCGTTTCCGAAGCCAGATCCCGTCCCGCCTCCTTGGTGCTTGCACCGTTTCTGTGTGTTTTCATCCCCTCGCCTCGCCGTCTTCGATTCTCCCTGAACCGCGTCCATCGCTAAAGGAGACGCAGGTCAGTCAAACATTGACGAAATAGCGAGAAGACAACATGTTTGCCTGCTCTAAAGTGCAAAGCCTGCGAATCCTACGACGGATACGCGAATTGGACGGGGAATTAGCAACAGAGACGTTACTTTGAGGTGCCTCTAAAGAAAACAGCAGGTTTCCCTGCTCTAAAGTGCAAATCCTGCAAATCCTACGACGGATACGCGAATTGGAAGAGCAACGAGCAACTGAACGATGAGCGCTTCGCCGGAGAAGCCACAACATCAACGCAACATCATCTCTACTCCCTAACCTGCCATCATCCAGCCTGAAGAGGCAGTCAGGGGCCTCCTTGTCTCTGCTAGCGAAACCGCCTCTACGGAAAACGGTCCGGAAGTGACCCGATCGGCTTCAGCCAGACCTGAAACTGACGTTTGAGGTCTCTCGCGGCTTGCCAAGCTGGTTTCAGTCAGTCAGTCATCAGTCAGTCAACGCTGATCATCTCACGGCATGCCTGGATTGCATGCATTGGCCCTTGATGTGTGTGGTGCTGCTCTCCTTTCACTCCGCCAGCCTTGATATTGTCGTCGCAACAGTGGACGCCATTTTCGCGCGCATTTTGGCTGCACGAATGTGATAACATTGGGCTTTACGGGTAACGTTGAGTTAAATACTTATTGTATCTTTTGTGTGAATTTTGTTGAACCAAACTGTTAACAGGTGTTTTGTTAAAATCGAATTCAAACCAAGCATACACAAGCTAACGAGTGTTTTTGTGACCTACCACTCAAGAATGACAAAGGAGCCTAACGAGCTGTCAACCTCCTACGGAACAAACCCCACCAAGCAAATCCCCTTTTCGATAAAACCACAAGCTCACTCTTAGCAGTTTCTTCCTTTCCAACCGACTCAACTGTTACTGCACCTTTCTCCGCCTCAGCTTCCCTTCCGGACACAACATCTGCAACTGCATCAGCAGCAGAACAGGCTGTCTCAATGTTCCCTGCACACACCGCCACCCTCAGCTGATCCGTTTCATCCAAACTGCTTCTTCTCTTCGCAGCTTCAGCATGGATACTCTCCCCAAAGGTGCTTGACTGATGAATGACGCTGCTGCTGCCACTGATGCTTCTTCGCCCCCCTCGTTTCAAATTGGAAAGAGGCGACGAGAGCCATCCGTTTCCATTAGCTCTCAGAAAGGCTTTGGAGCCAGACTTTTGAAACAAAATGGGGTTGCCTATCCCTGAATGGCCTTTCCCTGAATGGCCTTTCCCTGAAAGAACTTCGTCGTTGCTGTGGCTTCCGCTGCCACTATTATTTCCAGCTCCACTACCTAGGCCGCAGGTGGATGGTGCAGAGGGGGGTTGACAGGGGGTGTCATCTTGGGATGCTCTTTCAGGCTCAAGTCTAGATTCACTGCATTTGGCAACCGAAGTTGGTCTTGATGGATCCTCCTTAGAAGCTTCTCCGGCACCTGCAAGGCTGATTCCCGCATTACGAATGATGTTAGGACTAACAGGCTCTTGGCACTGGTCTTCCGGATCTGCTCGCAGGTAACGGACGAAGACAACAGGGGAAAGGATACGATCGGTAAATGAACTGCACACAGCAGGCAAAAAGAAACTGCATATTGGATTTAGTGTAGAGTGTATGGGGTGCGCTCATTTCTAAGATCTATACATCGGAAATTTCACACATTCCTGTTCAAATCGTAGTAAGGTGTTCTCTTGATGATGAATGAAGTCATGCACGCAACGACAAACGCGGCAATGCAGTGCACACAAGGCAGAGGATGAGGGTCATTACAAGGCCCAGGTTCGGCTACTGGCTCGGAGGCTGCTCCTGACCTTGCCTCGTGCTCGCAGGCTTGGCAAACTTAGACCCTCCCGACAAGAGCCAGCCGAAATATTCCGTATCTGTTACAACCAAGCACGGTTACCACCCATGCAGTTGGGAAAACATATAAATAAATCATTGGTGGTCAGCAGTGGCAACTTGCAGGGAGAATGAAGGAGAAGCAGGGAAGGGAGGGGTTGGACGGGAATGGGCATGAGCACAAGCATGAGCATGGGCTGGGGCATGGGTATGGGCACGAAAATGGGCCTGGGGACAGGCATGAACACGGGCCTCGGCACGGGCATGGGCACGGCGTAGGTATCGGCATGGTCATGATGGCATGGGCATGGACATGGGCATGGGCATGGGCATGGGCATGGGGCGTGGCCGTCGGTATGGGCATGGGCGTATGCGAATACGCAGGGTCGGGGCATGGCGTGCACATGGGCATGGGCACGTGGAGGATGACGACGAGGAACGAGGCGGACAAAATGTATGAAAGACCACGAGGCCACAACCTGGACCGAGGAACGCAAAAAACAATTTATGTTATGTATTCTTGTTTTGGTGTAAGTTCACCACCTTTATTTATGTAGCTACTCTGTTGAGGCTTACCTGCATATTCCGAATCCTCTTGACCAACTCCAAGCTTATCCATAACCGCGGCTTTTCCCCCTGATTTCTCCCCGGTCCGCACTCCGCCGAGCGGTTTGATCTTCGGAACAGCTGCCGATTTCGCCAGCTCTGCCAACTCGGGGTAACTTTTCGAGCGCGATCTTTCCAGTTTCACCGGCTCTTCGCGAGCAGGAGCGTCCGACGAAACCCTCGGCGAAGTTTTGTGGTCGTCGATGTAGCTGCTGTAATTGCTACCTTGATACGGCTGCATGAATACCGAGTCCGCATTCCCCGCCGCGTTCGCCGCTCCTCTGTTCGCACCCCAGACGCGCATTGCAGCAAGAACTTCCGACGTTTCGACATTCACCGCACCCCGCGGGTGCGGCTTCTTGACCGCATTTTCCAAGGCGCTCACGCTGTTACTTTTTCTCATCTCACTCTTCTCGCTGGTATCCGCTTTCGGCGCGTCGTTTTCGCTTGTCGCTGAGCTTGTGGCGTCTTGAATCTTCAGCCCTGTGACATCTGCGACAGCTTCGGCGACTTGATCCGGTTTCGCATGGCCGGAATAAGAAGGAAACATCATGTCTTCTACCCCCGAAACATTTGTAACCCCGTTGTCTCCAACCGAAGTGGGGTTTTCGCCATCGGCCTGGTTACCAGACGTCGTCAAGAAGCTGTCCAGCGTCGCGTTCGCGTTCGTACTCGCAGCAACCCGATTGCGAATCTTTTGCTTTGGCGGAGACGAACCCGTCGCAGAATCCGAGGCGTCTGATTCCACTATCTGCTGCTGTCGCGCTGCCTTCAGGTGCTGCGACGCCGTCTTGAGGTGCATTGGGTCGACGACGGTCGCCGGCGCCGCATGGCGACGGGAATGGTGGTGCGACGACGATGACGACTTGTGCGACGCGACGGGAATGTCAGCTATGGAGAGGAGCTCGGAGAGAACCTCTTTCTCCAATGACTTGTGCGAGGAATGTTTGTGCGACGAATGCTGGTGGGATGAAGGGTCGGCAGCATCAGCTGCGGCTGGTTCTCGCGCGCATTCCGCAGAAGGAGCCTGTTCCGCCATAACAAAATACCTTGAAATCTCTCCGCGAGCTTCACTCGAAAATGAATGAATGGGTCGAGGAAAATGTGACGCGAGCAGGTTGATTCCGAGAGGGGAAGGTCACGAAGGTGGCTGAACCGATAGAACTCGCAATTGAAGAATGAAGCTGAAGGAAGAGGAGTTGGGTTGTTCGTTTGGTGTGTTTCTGTTCTGAAACAGTCAAGGAAAAAGTGAATGTGAGCTTGGAAGAATGATGCGAAAGTCCGTCTGGATTCAAGGGTTGTGCACGGTATATGTACTTATTGTAGTGTTTCTGTACGGTTCTACGTTGCGGGGAGTTTTACAGATGAGGAGCGAGCTGGACAGCTCATCCTTGATGCAAGGACTGGCTGACGTGTGTTGGATATGGTGGGGGGCGTTGTGTTGGTAACAGCGCACGGAGTAACAGATTTTTGCGATCCATGAGATTGTCTTGTGGAGGAAATCCGAAATGTTTATTTTCTCGTTCACACCGTCTTTACTGCAATGTTCACTCCGACGAAGATGCGATCGCGAATACAGTTCCCACTGGTAAAGTGGATTGGGATGGTTGATCGGCTGAAAGAAAAGTGTTGACAATCGCAGAAGTAGAGAGGCCCGTGGGCAAAAACTGTTTCTTTTGCAATGTGGGACAATTGCCCCTTGTTTTTAAAAAAATGGGTCCTACAACTTCTCACACACTACGAAGTAAAAAGATCATCTCCCTGATGCAGAGCAGACCTCGTCTTGGCCGCCAAACCCGGGCCACCGTCCACTGTCGCGTTTCTCCTGAACCTCACGTTTTTCCCATGTGGCGAGACGACCCTGGCTACTGATCCTCAGCAAGGATCCGATGAATTGTCGCCACAACCTCGTTATCTCTATCACCTTCGCAAGCAGAAATTTCCTTCTAACGAAATATTCTGTGTGGTGATTTTGCGGACTCAAGCCACAATTTTTTACCACGTTATATATTCAGCTTCCATCCAGTTGTACACTGAAAAAAAATATAGTACACAGTATTTCAAAACATGCATAATACAGTTATATTACAACAGTTATACTGCCCCTCTGTTGTTTGTCCTGGACCATGTCATGCATCTGTTAGCCATAAAGGGGTGTCCAAAGTGAACGTCTGAGTTATGTCGGTAAATGTCAGCCCTCGGATCACCGGTTCCCACCGTCAGGATTCACCGACATCCCTCGACGTCGAGCTTTTGCAGCACTTTTTACACCATCAAGATGCCACGACCTGACGATGCATAACCGCTTTCACAAGCCGCTTCCATTTATTACCAGGGCCCACCTTTGTGGCCACTTCCCTCAACCCTTCACCTCTAGGGGCAACCACTCCCTTGGGATCATCCAACTCTTCGCCAGGCAAATTAACAGGCTCAAAGTTTGTGTGAGTAGTCTCGGGCAGCCCATTTCTTACCACAGCCCTTACAGACGGTGACTCAGCCATGGGGGAATCCAAATCTGCTCGTCTCGGCCCTTCCCTAAATCTTGACGGCGCCAACACGGATCCTCCATTCGACCCGCTCCCACTGGCGGTTAACCGAATCTTGGACGGCGAAGAGGCTCTCGGCGACACACTACTGAGTACAGAAGCAGCCAGTGACGGGGATGGAGGGCCTGCTAGTGTAGGTGCTGTTAAAGCAACAGCAGCAAGAGCAGGAGAGTTGGCTCCATATGTTCTCCTAGCACACCCGTCTGTTTCGAGCTCCCCCTTCTCCCTTCTCTGATAAGCTCTCATGACCTTCCCAGGGGTAGCAGGTGATAAGCCGGAATACTCAAGGCATTCCCCAGGGGAGGACTCTTGATCATCCCGAGGGGAGTTGCGAGGGGATTCGGCAGGGGAGGAGGAGGACCAGCAGGAAGAAAGGGGCGAGCAAGGGGAGTTGGAAAAGAGGGCTGACTGGAATCGCATCAGGGCAGCGGTCGGGGAGGAGACGGAGGAGGGGGAGGAGGAGTATGAAGGCAATGGGGATGACGAGGAGGAGGTGGAGGCGCTAGCAGAGGAGGAAGAGGAGGATGGGGTGATAGGATGGTGGATGCGAGACTTGGATGGAGAGGCTGTGCTAGTGGGGAAAGGGGTGTGTGTGTGCGAATGCTGCCCCTGATTCGGAGGATCAAATCTGGACGGAGATTTGATTTTTGACGGGGAGTCGAACCTGGACAGGGAATCGAATCTTGACGGAGAATCGAATCTGGACAGAGAGTGGACTTTGGAAGGAGATTCGAATCTGGAGGTTTTGGAAGAGGAGTCCATGTGAGGGGAGCGGTATGGGGAGTGGAACTGTGAGGGGGAGGAGCAGCTGGGAGACTGTAGGGTGGGGACGTCAATGTGTGGGTGTCTGTTGCGCAGGTGGGCAATCTTGACAGGGAGAAGGGGTCTGGGTAGGGTGGTGTTGGGTGGGGTGCTGCTCGGTGGGGCGGCGCGGTTGGGTAGGGTGGTGGGGACAGTAGCGGCGGCGGCGGGAGTGACGTCAGGAGAAGCACTGGTGGAAGCAGCACAGGAGGCAGAGCTCCCACTGGCAGCGATAGCAGTGTCATTTGCGCACACAGCAGCAGCAGGTACAGCAGCAGTAGCAGGAGTATATACATTGCTGGCTGAAATCCTGCCACCGTTACCGCTGCTGCCGTTACAGGCTTCACCGGATCTCCCCATTACCCCCTCAGCAGAAGACAGAGGAACTTCAGTCGCGGAGATGGGAGGAGTTGAGGCCGGTGAAGGATGGTCCGGAAAGGTTATATGGTATGAGACGTGAATCTGAGAACGAGAACGAGAGGGAGGCTCCTGCTGCTGCGCGTTGCCGCTGCCTGCCACGTCAGGAAGGCCTGCTGTGACGTCAGCCACGAAGATGTCGACAAAAAGCAGCTTGACTCCCTCAGCGTCCCTGGCGTGGCAGATGGCCGAAATATCTTGCCAGTTGGCACACTCCACGTCAGCAAACTCCTCCAGGTCACCCCACTCCTCACTCTCCTCCGCTGCACCCCAAACCGCCGCGACCTCCGCCCCCCCTTCCTCCCCTTCCTCCCCTTCCGCCACACTCTCCGCCCCACGCTCCGCTTCCCCTTCCTCCCCGCTTCGGGGCTGAAGCAGGGCGGGCATGCTCCTGCCAAGATTGACTCGCTGTCCCCCACTGCCTCGCATTGCCTGCTGCCGACCCGCGTCTCTCAGGCTCACGCCCGCTTGCATCACATCCGCTCTTGTCGCGCTAGTGGACAGCGACGCTGCGACTGAAGTCGCACCAGTCGCCGCGCTATTACAGCTGTAATTCGCGACGCTCGCGCTCATCGTCAGGCTGCTGTTGCTGCTGCTGCGACTGAATGCAACGCTGCCGTCGCTCGCGAAAGTGCTTTTGATAGTCGACACGCTGAACTCGCTGCTGCCGCCGCCAAGACTCGCGAGGCTCGCGATGCTTGCGACGCTGGCGACACCGGCGACGTTTGCGACGTTTCTACTGGAAGGAACGCGAGCAACCCTGGGAAAGCTCCCGCTGCTGCTCCCGCTTCTCGGGATGCTTGCGACATTACTAGCTCCAGCGTCGCTCGCGCTGCTCGCGACGCTGTTCGCGACGGTGTTCGCAACGCTCATTGTCGCCTGCATCCTTCTCCCACCGCTTCGCCCGCTTCTTACCCTTGTGATATCGGAGCGCGACTCTTGCTCCGCCGGAAATGGCGCCGACTCGTCAACACTGCGGCTCAGTGGAATTGCGCCTGGATTCCGCGCGACAGCCGCGGAGTCCGCGCGCGCAGGGGACTCGCTTTTCCCCCGCAATCGCTGGAGAAGCCGCGAGCGGCTCGTGGGTGAGGGCGCCGCGAGAGCCGCCGCGGAGACCGTCGGGGACGGCGAGGGACACGGCGAGCCGTTGGATGACTGGGATGCGAAGAATCCGACGGCTCGCGGCGGCGCTCGGATGAAAGCCGCAGAGTTATGGCGGAAAAGGCGGCGGCGATGGAGCAACGAGTCGCCTGTTGCGGTGTTCCCTCCGATAGCACCGACCGCGGCGCTTATTTCGTGCGCGCCGTCCCGTGCGCCGCCAAATTCCCCGCTGGTGCTTGGCCTAGGTCGAGGCCGCCGCGCTTGCGATTCGAAGAGGTCAAGTGCCGCTTCGAGCGGACCCGACCTTGGTCTATCCAGCGGATGCACCTCGGAGCTATCCATCTCATTGCTGTGGCGGCTGCAGCGACGAATGTGCCGATCGATTGCGCCAATAGCGTTCCGGCCCGTGCTGATGCTCCGGGAATCGCGGCCGCTGCTGTACCTGTTGCTGTAACTGATTCCGCGCGGATTTAAGCTGTCATGGATGATGTCGCTCACTGGCGACGCGAACCGCGCGCTGCTAAATCCTCTGTCGCGTTCCTTTATCAAAGCCATCGTTTGTCGGGGAGGGGGAGATTGGCGGGGATTGGCGGGGATTGGCGGAGATTGGCGGGGATTATTTTCTCGGGTACTCGCAGGGTCGCTTCAAAAGAGGCTGGGAGGAAAGGAGGCAGAGGAAGGAGTTTGAAAATTTCAATGTCCGGATTACGTGATAGTGTCGCTGAAAGTGCAGGTAATGTTAGTAAAATGTTGAGTGCAGCACTATTGAAGTTAGTGAACATCTGACAGCGGCGCTGAAGGCCGATCCCCCGCGTTCAATGGCTGCGGTTTTCCTGATACGGCAGACGAAGCGTGGCTCTACCGTCTCAACACGCGAACGAAGGATCTGCTGCTCTCTGCTGCTCTCTGCTGCATATTGCTCTCCCCTTCACTAACAAAGCGAAATACACGTATTATTTGTGCTGTATCCGTCTACCTGATACAATCTTAAATGTCAATCATAAGCTATGTGCCCAGCCGTGCAGCTTTTACCCTTCCTGTGTCTCTTACCCTTCATCAGCTCACCACCAGCTTTCCCCGCCCGCTTTCCCCGCGTCTGCAGCAATTTCGCCTGTGCCAACCCAATCTCCACATTGTGGCGACTCGGGGGTCAGAATGGAGAACTTGCACGCGGCGCGGTCACAACAGGTTATTCATAGACTGTGGTAAGGAATCCTGGCCGTGGGAATCCGGCAAGATTGAGTCATCGACGGGGTAGATTGCTTACGGCCACCCCACCTGACTCAAAAATACAGAGATTAACCAATCATGTACCCAGAAAAACTTTTGAGGCGGCCGGCTCGTGTTCGCTTTGTTTATCAAAGCCAGCTGGATGACTTTCCTTCATTTGGACGGACGCAACAGCCTCAGTTTTGAGCGTTACCGAAAGGGTTTTTATACGGGCCGTCACAAAACTTTCAGGGGTTATCACGAGCAGTCACATGTTCCGCCAAATCTATCACGGACAGTCACAAAATCCGCCAAATCTATCACGAACCATCACACGGGTATCACCCGCCGTCACTCAAAGGCACTAACTTTTATCACGGGTAGTCACACTCGAAACTTTGCTATCACAGATGAGCCCTGTCATCATTTCGTTGACCCGCCCTGAAACACTGTACAGATTTAGGGACTCTATTTGAGGTTGCTGGTTTTTGTCCAGTATACGCGGACCATTTTGGTTGCAAAGATGGTTACGTTCGAATCGTTCTAACACACCGTATCAAACGAACGCATAAATATACATATTGCTAGAGTTAACCATTTAAAGTATCTTCATGAATATGTATAGTATGTTCTATCATTTACAAACTGGGTCTTGTGATACCCAACATCATTCGCGAAAATTTCCAAGCAATTTTAATATGTGCAAGTCCGATACGGTATGAGGCGTTTCATACAAACAATTATAACTTGCATTTGTTTTAACAATAACTAATGACGTATGATGCCAGGCAAGGCTGTCCGGTTGTGATATGATTCGCAACTGATTTAATAAAGTAAACAAGCGTTTGTGCGCAGAACGGGTAAGGGCTTTTCTTTTAAGTTTACGAGTCATACAACCATTCCAAATTTTGGGTTCTTTCATATATATAATTCCGTGTTTGATTAACATTAGCTTCTGCCCTTTTTCTAGGATGCGTGGTTTTAGATGATGGTGCTCGAATGTGTGATGTATCACAATTGATTTGGCGTATATACAAAAGCGCTCGTGCGCACAACGAGTCAAGGTTGTTGGTTGATAGCCAGTCATATCAGGATAAGTAGATTCTTACTGTTATGAGTTGTAACAGAGAGTGCGCAGGTAAACGAATAACGAGGCTGTGACTGAATGAACTGAGAATACAATGAATGCACAGACTAATGTAGGGCTAGCCTAGCTAGGAGGAAACCTCGGACGAGCGAGGTTGGGTGCAGGTTTGGCGATGGGAATGCCGAAGGCGACGCGAGGAGCCTCGGCAGCGTTGAAATCGCCTGAACGTGCGAACTCCGAAAGTCGTGTTGTACGTGAAGCCGTCAACCCCCATAAGGAATTCGGGGAAATTCCTTACACTTACCCTTCTTTGTTTTTGTCCCTTCTCAATTTTTTTTCTTTAACTTCCATGGTTCTATACCAATATTCAAATATGAAAATATGTGTTATAAATATCGCTGTCATCTACTATACATCTAATTCATCGTTCATGATTTTGTTATATTTGGAATCTTGTTTGCAGAAACATATTAATGTACTCACATTTTTATGTTTTTCGTGCTTCATATGGATCGAAATAAGATTTATAAGATCTTCAGTGCTATGTGATTAAACTACACGCATATATACGAAAAACTATTTGAGGCATGGAAAAGAAACAGATTTAATTTATACAATGAACAATTTATTAAAAGAAAACATTGCGGGTATCAGAACGTATTAGTAAAATTAACAAATACAGCCCTGCCTAGCATCATACGTCATTGGTTATTGTTAAAACAAATGCAAGTTATAATTGTTTGTATGGAACGCCTCATACCGTATCGGACTTGCACATATTAAAATTGCTTGGAAAATTTCGCGAATGATGTTGGGTATCACAAGACCCAGTTTGTAAATGATAGAACATACTATACACATTCATGAAGATACTTTAAATGGTTAACTCTAGCAATATGTATATTTATGCGTTCGTTTGATACGGTGTGTTAGAACGATTCGAACTTAACCATCTTTGCAACCAAAATGGTCCGCGTATACAGGACAAAAACCAGCAACCCGAAATAGAGTCCCTAAATCTGTACAGTGTTTCAGGGCGGGTCAACGAAATGATGACAGGGCTCATCTGGGATAGCAAAGTTTCGAGTGTTACTACCCGTGATAAAAGTTAGTGCCTTCGAGTGACGGCGGGTGATACCCGTGTGATGGTTCGTGATAGATTTGGCGGATTTTGTGACTGTCCGTGATAGATTTGGCGGAACATGTGACTGCTCGTGATATCCCCTGAAAGTTTTGTGACGGCCCGTATAAAAACCCTTACCGAAAATGTGATGGGGCAGGATGTGTGTGACGTGTAGCATTGCTGCTCACGTGCTTACAAAACAGACTTGTTGGCATGAATTGATTTCACAGGTGTGGAAAGCAGAAGCGTGACCGAGGCTGCCCTGAAGGCAGTAGCAGAGGGGAAGGGGGTGGAGTGGTGGTGGGGGGCCTCAGTACGCGTCACTTTTTTTTTGTTGCTTCGTTCTGCCCGAACCGCTAATCACACCTGTGCTGATAGAAATCGCCTCCAATCAATTATTGTAACGCTCCTCAGTCGGAGGTGGGGCGAAGGTGGTTTCATCAATTCGCTGGTGCTTCCTTCCCCCACCTTCCTGAACGAGGGAGGACTCGTCTCATCCGCGTTGACTCAGTTTGCTCACGTAAAAATAAACCCGCTTGTTTATAACAAACTGAGGTGTACATGCGGGCTAATATTACACTGAAGCTCGTATCCGTGCAAGACTTTCCGCCTTTCCTTGTTGCGCCGCAACCTCGATACAAGGAGCCGACTACATTTTGATGCATTCGATTGGTAAAAAATCTCGCTGAGCTGGTCGTGATGTGGCGCTTTCCACCATCGCGGAACCCCATTGAACTATTCCACAACACCGTGCGAAACAAGTTGCGAGCTGTAACTGGCAGCTCTGCAGTGCGTCGCAGCAGCATTTCCCCGCTGTCATCCTGGCGAAACTCGTCAGCTCTTCGTTTACGCTTCGCCCGTCCCCGCCGTGGTAAGCCTGCCACGGCGTACGCTTCACCAAGCATTCGACAAGGCCGAAATTTGCCCTTATAACGTAGGAAGGAGGAGAGCCTGAATGTAGCTAGCAACCAGCAGCGGAGGAGTCCGTGCTGCAACACAGATTCCAATCACATAATGCCCGTCAGTTCTGTCTGTTCTCAGCGCGATTTCTCTCACAGTCGTTTCAAGCCTGCACGCGATTCCACTGAACGCAAGGCCGGACTCGATTCGTCTCACCTACTTTCCTCAAATACCCACCTTCATTTGCCCCGAACGCGATTTCCCTAAAATCAGGGTACTTGTCTCAAGGCTGCCCTCTCACTTAACTGAAAGCTGTTCGCGTAAAGGATCTCCCGTTGATTCTGCGGCGAGCCATGGCGGCGGCAACTGCGGCGGCAAACGCGGCGGCAAATGCGGCGGCGTCGACGCCAGTGTTCGTGTACGGCACGCTCATGGCGGACGAGGTGCTCCACGCGCTGCTCGACCGCGTGCCCGCTTCGGCCCCTGCCCGCCTGCCGAACTTGTAAGTTTATCGCCTCCCTTCTTTCCCCTCGCGGTCTCTCCCCCCCCTCCCCCCACCCCCTCCCTTCCCCCTCCCCCCCCCTCACCCCGCCGTGCCGTGGTGTGTGCCTGCGCGGACGAGGTGCTTCAAGCACTGCTCGACCGCCGCGCGCTGATCGACCGCCGCGCGCTGTTCGATCGCGTCCCGGCGTCCTCTCCCGCGCGCGCGCGCGCAACTTGTGAGTCCCGCGCACTGCCGCGCGCTGCCGCGCGTACCCAAATTGTGACTCCCCACGCTGTTGCGCTCAAAATGCGGCAGCGCGTGGGACCCAGTCACCTCCACTCCTTTCCCACTCCCTTCCGCGATCATTCCGCCACTCCCTTCCGCGATCATTCCGCCACTCCCTTCCGCGATCATTCCGCCACTCCCTTCCGCGATCATTCCGCCACTCCCTTCCGCGATCATTCCGCCACTCCCTTCCGCGATCATTCCGCCACTCCCTTCCGCGATCATTCCGCCACTCCCTTCCGCGATCATTCCGCCACTCCCTTCCGCGATCATTCCGCCACTCCCTTCCGCGATCATTCCGCCACTCCCTTCCGCGATCATTCCGCCACTCCCTTCCGCGATCATTCCGCCACTCCCTTCCGCGATCATTCCGCCACTCCCTTCCGCGATCATTCCGCCACTCCCTTCCGCGATCATTCCGCCACTCCCTTCCACCCCTGCAGTCCCAATTGACCCCCACCATGCCCGGTTCCTGCCCTTCCTCCCCCCCACCCTGTTCCTTCCTCCCCCCCCACCCCGTTCCTTCCTCCCCCTCCCCCCTCCCCTCCCCAGCACGCGCCACAGCATCAAGGGGCGGCAATACCCCGCAGTGGTTCCAAACGCGCACGACTCCGTGATGGGGAAGGTGCGGCAGAATGGGGGAGGGGGCGGGGGAAGCGGGACTGGGCGGGGAGGGGGGAGATAGGGGTAGGGGGAGAGAGGGAGCACGCGCCGCAGCATCAAGGTGCGGCAGAATGGGGGAGGGGGCGGGGGCGGGGGAAGCGGGACTGGGCGGGGAGGGGGGAGATAGGGGTCCGGGGAGGGAGGGAGCACACGCCACAGCATCAAGGGGCGGCAGTACCCCGCAGTGGTTCCGAAAGCGCAAGACTCCGTGATGGGGAAGGTGCGGCGGAAGGGGGAAGGGGGGGTTTATGCGGGGATAGGGGGTGGGAGAGGGTGCGGGGATAATGGGGCGACAATATCCTGGAATGACTCGTCCGAAAGCGCAGGACTCTGTAATGGGGAAGGAACGCACGTGTAAAAAGTGAATTCACTTTTTGCATAATGGGGCGGGAATACCCTGGAAGGATTCCGAAAGCGCAGGACTCCGTAATGGGGAAGGAAGGGGAAGGAAGGGGAGCATGTGCGTTCCACCCACTCAGCATCCCTGCATTCCCCTCTTTCCCCCCCTCCGCCCCTTCACCCCAGCTGCTCTCGACCTCTCCCCCCCAGAAATGAACATTCTAGACGCATTTGAAGACGTGCAGTATGTGCGCTGCACCCACCCACTCCCCATCCCTGCCTGCTCGCGTGTTTCCTTCCCCCTCTCTGCCCTTCCCCCCAGCTGCTCCTCAACCTCTCCCCTCAACCTCATCCTTCGAAGCATTTGATTTGAAGACGTGCAGTGTGTGCGCTGCACCCACCCAGACAGTTACCCTGCTGTTACTCCCCTTTTCCACTTTCCCCCTCTCCACTTCCCCCTTCTCCCCCAGTTGCTCCTCGGCCTCTCCCCTCCAGCAATGAACCTCTTCGATGCCTTTGAAGATATGCAGTATGTGCGCTCCACCCACCCACTCCCCATCCCGTCCCCCTACCCCCTCACTCGCTCCCCAGGCCTTCCCCATTTCTCCCTGCGCCCTCCCCCCAGCTGCTTCCCATCTTCAACATGTGCAGAAATGAACCTCTTTGGTGCCTTTGAAGATGTGCGCTCCCCTTGCCTTCCCCATTTCCCCCTTCCCCTCCTCCCCCTGCGCCCTCCCCCCAGCTGCTTCTCAACCTCTCCCCTCCAGAAATGAACCTATTTGATGCCTTTGAAGATGTGGAGTATGTGCGCTCAACCCACCCAGTTTCCCTGCAAGGGTTAATTACCCAGCCGGTTTCCGGGCAGGGGTTGACAATAGGGGATGGAGAGATAAAGGCGCCGGGTGGAGGAGAGGGAGGAGAGGGAGGAGAGGGAGGAGAGGGAGGAGAGGGAGGTAAGGGAGGAGAGGGAGGAGAGGGAGGAGGAGGCGGAGGAGAGGGAGAGATGAGGGCGTTTGTGTATGTGTGGGCAAGTGTGCAAGACCCTGACCTGTATGGGTCATGGGATTACGAGGTGAGAAGCTCTTTCCTCTTCTCTTCTTCCCTCTCTTCCCCCCTTCGTCCCCACCTTTCTCCCCCCCTTCCTCCCCCCCTTACTTTCCCCCTTCCCCTGGGTTCGTGTACGTGTGGGCAAATGTGCATGATCCAGAGCTGTATGGGTCATGGGACTACGAGGTGAGAAGCTCTTCTTTCCTCTTCTCTTCTTCCCTCTCCTCCCCCCTTCCTCCCCCTCTTCCTCTCGCCCTTCACCTGGGTTCCTGTACGTGTGGGCAAATGTACAGTACCCTGACCTGTATGGGTCATGGGACTACGAGGTGAGAAGCTCTTTCCTTCTCTCCCCCACTCTTCCCCCACTCCCCTTCCCCTCCTCTGTTCGCGTGTATGTGTGGGCACATGTGGGTTTAGGGACCCTGGCCTCTTTGGGTCGTGGGGCTACAAGGTAAGCACCTCTTGCCTCAAAACTAGACTCAAGAAAGGGACGCATTTGCATCCCTTCCTTGGGTGAATGCATATGCACCTCTCTCTCCCTCTGCATTGGCATATGTGGAGGACCCTGGTTTCTTTGGGTCGTGACTCGTGGGACTATGAGGTAACCACCTCTTGCCGCAAGAAACGGATGCATTTACATCCCTTCCTTGGTTGAATGCATATGCACCTCTACATAACTTTTAGACAAAGTAATCTTTTTTGAAAAGTATCCTCTGCGATTGGGTGTCTGTGAACAAATGCACACAGCATATGGGTAAACATTGGAACGAGTCTCATCGTGTGCTGCCACTGTGCACATCGCTGCTACACTGTGCCCTACTTTGCTATATACAAACGAGTACATATCCTCTGTAAAATCTGGTATATGCAGGCATGGAGAAGAGAGCACATGGGATATTTTGTGATCAGGTGCCGTTCTTTTGCACTGGGGTGGAGGGAGAGGCAGGGACGGAGGCTCGCAGGCAACTTCTAGCCTCTTGACAGTGTACATTACACTCTCATATTATTCTTTCACACCCCTTTTCTGTTCAACTTCTTTCCTTGCTTCTGATGTTTTATCATTTTCTTTCCTTTTTTACTTCGTTTTTCACCGACACTATGTTCCACATTGATGGAGCATGTACATAGGCGTGGCGCATCAAATGGTTGGACTCGTATGTTGCAATGTGCCGAGTATTTGCGCAAGAATGGAAAGAAGAGGGGTCGTGGAGTGGCATCGAGCATAGGGAAACATTGCAGGCCAAAGGACCAATCTCTTAGTTACGATTTTTGTTTCTGTTTATGATGGATTACTCATCATTTAAGCTGCTCTTTTCCAACAGCCACGGCTTAAAGCCAAGGTCTCAAGTAAGCAAAGCAGCCATCAACTGCAAAGCACTCGTAGGCAGGCGAAGGTAGGTTACCTCGTTAGTGCAGGCGAATTTCTCTTTGGTTGGGTTGGAAACCTGTTCCCGTCAGTGTCTCAAAAGCAATTGCACAACAAGTTTTGAGTACGTGAGACTTTCGACGAGTTTGGGGCATTTTAGGTTTGGATCCGAACCGATTCTCCAAACCTAGGAGGTTCGGCTACACCTAGCGATTTGGATTCGTTTCGTACCCCTCGCTTCACCCCTCTTCAAACTTCACAACTCGTTAGCCAATCACAAACAAACTTGCACTGTCAACTGCAAAGCACTCGTAGTACGTGAGACCCTGGTTTTAAGCCTAGTACTGAAACCTGACCTCCACACACGCGTGACACACCCACCCACGCACACCGCTTCCCCACTTCCCCTCCGAGGCATCTTCCCGATGGATCCCTTGACAGTTTGCTGCAGAAAGATGGTGGACTGGGGGGAGGGACTGGCCTCGGGGGATTTGCTGCTTCGCGAACATGTGAGGTGCGTGTACATCGTTGCCGCTAGCTGTCTCCCACCTGCAAATACTGCCTTGAAGCTGCCGCCACCACGCACGAGAATGTGCGCTTTGTTTGACATTGCCTTTGGAATTTTTTTTTTACCCGAAACATTTCAAACCGCGTCGGTAAAATGCACTCCTTCCAAAGGTTGAGGGTTGTTGATGAAGCAGCAAAGAGTTTTGTACAGATGTTCCGGGTTAAAGGCCATTGCTAGATGAGTCCATTTTCCATCTTGAGTAGAATTTTCCGATATTGCCTAGGGTTGTCCCGACCCCTATAGTCCCATCTTTGGTGGGAAATTTTGAGGCTTGACCGAATCATTGCACGAATCAGCTCCGCAGCCAATCAGAGGCTCCAAATTGAACCATCCCAACATCCGGAGAAAATTATAGATAAGGGATCATCGATTCGACATTTAACCTCCAAATTCTAAGTAATTGTTTTTCTTGACCGTGATCACTTCTCAATCCTGTTGCGCGGTCTCCAGCGCGCTCGACGATGACATCACGTTTATCTCGTTTACAGGGTAAAACAGAAGTTTTTACCTTCTAATCGACCCCCAAACCATAGTTGATTTTGTATTTTTTTTTTCCCGTTGGTCATTCGAAATTGATCAGCGCGTGGAAGCGTGTGACAAGAAGTTGAAGCCAGCGCGGTCCAAATTTAAGAAAAAGACCAAAAACCAAACATTTTAGCAAACAAACCACTATTCATGTAAATTGTCTGAACGGGACTATAAATATCGCGTTTTGCCTGGGGTTTGAAAATTTCGGCATACAGTCCACGCGCTTCGGCTCAACCCGTCGGACTATAAGCCGAAACACTTATACAGTAATGAAAACAGAGGCTTCCTTTCTGTCAAATGGACACCAGAAACACCAGAAACTAGCTGGCCTCAACCAACACCCCCCGACACACCTGCGACTCGAACGACTACAGTAATGGCAACTAACACTGCCACAGACACCCAATTTTGGAACAAACATCCGGCGGTCGGCAGTACACTTGGTAGCATAGTGTCGTTTCGCTTATGTGTTTCATCGGGGACTGTTCGTTGTGTGGGACGGGTCACGGGAAGGGAGAGAGGCTAGCTACTGAAAGGGCAACCAGCGACAAAAATCACACGAACAAACAAAAGAGTTAGTGAGCGGAGATTTTTCGTGGGGCAAAATAGACGCGAGAAAGCAAGGAAGCCTGGAGCAACCACCACTGCCACGAGGGTTTCCACCTGTCCCATCGCCTGCTGGTGTACAGTCGAAGATCGCGTCGTGGAAGACAGCACCTGTGACCTACCCCCTAAGTTTGTTGTGGAAGGGATAATCCGACACGTGATCCCGTCCAGTTTGTTGCAAACCCAACCAATGGTCTGAAGAACAACCAACCAACCAACCAACCAGCCAACCAGACACGTCACACAACAATCTTCTCTCCACCCCTTCTCGTGGACCCCCCCTCCCTGAGACAGCTGGAGAGGCAAGATAGGTAAGATACACCTGATATCCATTTCAGTCTTGTTCTCCATCTTTCTCTGCTCCTCTTTCGAGCACGCGCTCGCTAGGGGGAGAATGGGACTGTATCTGGGTAGCCCAGCGTGTCTTTTCTAGGAAACTCGTATAACTTATTCGAGGTCAAGAATATCTTAGTTTTGTCGTGGGCTAGTAACGCGCGGGCCGTTGGCAGTGAATGTCGACCACTGGGCGTATGGAGTGGTAGTGGTCGTGTTCAGAATGGGCGGTTGAGTGAGCATTAGGGTGTATGCAAGGACAGCCATGGCCTGAAGCCTCCCTCCTCCACCGCGAACAGTTTCGAGAAGCTAGATCTGTCCAACCAAACCCAGGCTCTTTCTTCCTATACACTTTCGGCCACGAGCTTTGCCTCCACATTTCCACGGAAAATCGAGAAGATGTCTGGAGTTTCTCCCGAAGGGACACCTTTGATCCAGTACTTTTAGCAGCAAGTCGTTCGCGCCATCAGGTGGTACAGGCTAGTGAGTTATTCTCCACGTAGCAGAACTTCCAGTCTCAAAATCGCGCGCTTCCCCTTATTGCTTCCCACCCTCCAACCAACGAGACCTGCTTTCCTCCCTTTCACGAACAAGCCGAACTCGAAAGTAAAAATGGCGTATTACTCAAGTTTGATCGGACCTGTTCTAGTGCTCCTGCTCTTTCAAATGTCAGTCACTGCCGGAGACGGCGGCGACGCCGAACCTGCGCCTTTCCCCGTCCAACCTAGCGCGTTCGAGATTTTCATGCAATCGCAGGGAGCGTTGCCTGACCCTCCCCAGAATGACAATCCACCGGAGTCGCTCCCGTCTCAGGCGACTGCAGGCGACGGCGACGGTCGCCAGCTGCGACAGCAGCGAAGACTCGCATTCTCTTCCAGAGGCAGGAGAACCCTGGGCGGAGAAACGTCGCGGAAGCTTCTAGACTTCGGCCGCGAAATGCGGAGTCGTCAGAGACGTAGGACCCTCGATACGACGCCCGACGCGGCTCCGCAGGCGCTCCAAGCGCCGGGCCTTAACTCCGCGCCGAGCGCGGGGGATATCAACATGACGTGGTACCGCTGGCAGAGCGTCGCGCAGCCTAGCGAAGTAGACTGGCGAAGAACTATCGTGATGACGCCGGTGTTGAATCAGCAGCTGTGCGAGAGCTGCTGGGCGTTAACGTCGACGGATATCGTTAGCATCGTCTGGGCGTTGGTGAACAATCAAACGGCGGAGCCGCTGTCGCCGCAGCACGTGTGCGACTGCGCGGCGGGGCAGTGCTGCGATGGGGGGTGGCCGGAGTGGGGGTTCCAGTTCATCCTCGCTAATGGCGGAATCACTACCAATGAGGAGTATCCCTATGTTGCGCACGGCAACTCCACGTGCCGCAATATCCCCCAAGGAATGCTGAAGGCCAAGGTGCTTTATTCTCTCCCAGCAACTCCGCTTCTACCTTCCCCTTCCCCATCCCCCCGCCCCCCTCCACCGCCCCTTCCCCCTCTCCCCTCTCCGACCGCCTCTGGGACCGTTTCCATCCCCTTCCCTCTCCCCGTTTCCACATTCCCTTTTATCGTTGAATGGAATTACATTTCCTTGTTCTGCTTTCCCGCAACGCGTTGCGCAACAATCAACGGCCTATTTCGCCCGTCGCAATCCCTTTCGTGTGGAACGGCACACTCAAAACTCTCCGCGATATTCTATCTCCTCTCTTCGTGCCTGGGTCGTGCAGATGACGGGGTGGGAGAAGGTGCCGGTTCGACGTAACAAGGCGCTGATGAAGGCCGTGGCGCAACAGCCCGTGCTCGTGTACCTCTCTTCGGGCACCAACGACTTCATTGTAAGCACACTCCCGTTAGAACAGCGGCGATACTTGTTATTTCGTTCGGTGTATATTGACTTCATCCTTTTTTTTGTTTTTGTTTTTTTTCTTCTTCTTCTTTTCTGTGCGTGACCTCTTCTACATTTCCTCCTCTGTTCACTCACGTCCCGTTATCCGTTTCCTACCTAATGCTCCCAACCTCCACCCCCACCCCCAGAGCTACTCTGGCGGCATTTTCGATGGCGATTGCAGTGGAGACATCGATCATGCGATGCTGCTTGTTGGTTACAACATAACGGACCCGGTCAGTCCGTATTGGATTCTGAAGAATACGTGGGGAATCAACTGGGGCGAAAACGGCTACATGCGCTTGCGGATGTTACCAGACGGGAACGGCAAGTGTAACGTGATGAGCGAAAACGCGATTTACCCCGTCTTCTACGAGCGGAACAGCAGAGCGTGCGACGTTATCACGCCGAACCCGTGTGGCGGGGGCGTGTGCGAAGTGCGAAGCGGCAGGGCGAGATGTAACTGCCCCCCGGGTTTCGTTGAGCGGCTGGAGGAGAGTGCGCCCAAGTGTGTCACGGCTACACCGTGTGACGCTAACCCCAACCCCTGTGGTGTCGGGACGTGCAATAACGAGTTCGACGGCTCGTATACCTGTTCCTGTCCTGCGGTAAGTAGAACCTTCATTCATAACTATTTTCAGGTCCTCGCGTATTACGTTCCTCCCAGCATTTTATCTCCCCTCGTGTCACTTCCTTCTGCTTACTACCGACGCGATTCATTTTCCTCGCTCTTTGCTTACTGATACTCTGCGTACCCTTCCCTTTCGCTACTTCCCTGCACCTCTCCAGGGCTCCGTAATTGGCGCCCGGACCGACCGTGCCATGACCTGCATCGTAGGCTCGTTCCAATCCGGCCTCCAAACCTACACCGTAATGGCAGGCGACACGTGCCAAACAGTCTCCGACACCTTCGGCTTCACTATCGAGTTTCTCGTTCAGCGAAACCCGTTCTTGGACTGCGATTTGCCGTTGATTCCGGATTTCGTACTGCTG